AGGACGTGGTAGTCTAAGGAGCTTGGAAAGAAAGTGACTGTATGTACCGGCTCACTCCTGGTGGCCGATTGGCGGGGCCTGGCGCCTGTGGCCCGGCTGGGCCCCTTCCGGGGGGTGGGGTGCCCTCAGGCCTCTGGGCCTGAAGCTCGGTCCTCTCTGGCACAGCTGGCTACCAGCAGAGCCCGCGGGCACGCCACTGCAACCCCCTCTGGCCTCTGCTCTGTAGCTGCTGGGTGACCTCTCGTTACTCAGCTCTTCCCAGGAGGGTGGCACGGTTCCCCTCCTTTTGGTGGTCCTCCTCGGATCCTCGTACTCTGGGGCCTCTGGATATCTGGGGCCTGGATCTCCTCCATACCTGCTTCATGCCCTGGGGGACAGGGCTATGGCTCCCCACACTCCCTAGCAGATCGTTACATGGAGAAACCTTTGGTATACAAGCATGCTGATCCACACAGGTGTGCACACAGGTGTACACACGGGTGTTCACAGACGTGGACTACACCTTTCTTGGCTGCTGCCTCAAAGCACATTGTGCGCTGTCTATCTTGCGTGCTGCACAATATCGTTTAATATCTACTAGCTAGTTTATTGTGATGGTGCTGTTTTTTATTATGTTGCTCTTCTTTTGTTTGCTTTCTCTTCTGTTTTTTTTTATCCATCCAGGTGATCCAGGTGTTTTGTTTGTTTTTCTTTCTTTCTTCCCCCCTTTCTCACCGTCTCTTCTCCCCTCTGTTTTTCTTTCTCTCCCTCTTTCTTTCATTCTTTCTCCCTGTCCTATCCCCCAGTCATGTCTGTCCCGTTTGTAGCAACCGAAAATAAAATAAATACATAATTATAATAAAGGTCAATCAAATGGACCAATATGGCAAGGCCATGATGATCCACTTGGTAAAACAAATCCACTTGGCATCTTTCTTGGCCTTAAGACAACAATTCTGATGGCTAAAGATCCAAATGGGACATAAAAAAAAAGTGACTTGGCTTTTTGAAGTTTCTTGAATTTTCAAAATGTGAAACTGAAATAGAAGATGTGTGAGAGAAGATGCATGACTCTCTCGTGCGTCACAGAGAAAGACGAACTACCACGGTCCAAGCACATATGCCAGGTCCCATACTCCTTCAGTTGCTTTTCTACTTGAGCACTGAATGCATTATACACAGTGTATTCTGCTTGTATTATGCTTTTTAACTTTCAACTTTCATGCCAATGGATGCATCAGAGACCAAGTTGGGGTTCAGTAACTTGCCCAAGGACACTTTGGTAAGAACTCCAGACTACAGCACACAGAGATTGAACCAACAACCATCCAATTAGTAGATGACCTGCTCTACAGCCAACTCAATGACAAAAAAGGAGGGACAACGAGAGAGGAAAAAAAATGGATCGAATGCAGCTGTAGGCATATGTAGGTATGTGGTTCTTACTGCCGTGCATCCAGTAAAGTCGCTATGGCCAGTTTATGACATCCTAAGTCTGTTAGGGAAGTTTTCATGGTACCGTGATTGACATAATCATAGAATAGCAAAAAGGACATAATTTCATGATAAAGACACAATACATGATCGTCGTTCATGACACAATTATTGATGTGTATGGAACAAGTGAGTGTTTCTCCTGCTGTTGATGTACAATCCAGGTACTGATGTGACTGTGTATGAGCGCCTAGTCCCCTTCAGAGGACTGTGTCCATTCCAACAGAACATCCCAAGTAAACCAGGTAACTATGAGATAAAAACATGGGCAGTATGTGATGCCAGGTCCATCTGTACATGGAACATGCTAGTGTACGATGGCAAACTGTCTGGCCTGCAGTCAGGGCACGCAAGTTGTCCCTAACATTAAAGAAGGTTTCCAAAAGAAAACAATTACGTGTAACAACTTGTTTACTTTATATGCCCTTGGCCTGCAACTGCAGAAAAGAAAGCTGTCCATGATGGGACCAGAACAGAAGAATAAACCTGAGCTTCCTCCTGCACGTGTGTCAAATATGGACACGCCTTTGTTCTCGTGAAAGTTTGCCTTCACTAATACCCATGCCTTGGTGTCAGTCCTACCATGCCAAAACATAGAAAAATGTCAGGTAGTAAGTTGGAAAAAAGTTGAATAAAACCTTGAAACACAGAGATGGATGATCTTTTATACTTATTGCTTTATAAATAGTCATTTTTGAGCCCAAAGGACAACAGATGTGATTATTTGCTGCCAGTAAAAAACTAGAAGTAATTAAAAACAGCTTCCTAAATTAACTTTGAAATTTACCCGTCTGTGATAATCTGTTAAAATAACCAACTCTGGTTGTGAAAGGATAATCACAATATCTGATGATTTAATTAATTTTATTTACCCCAAAATAAAGAAACATTTCATTTAAATTAGATTTTATCAGACATAAATTTGAAATTGAATAAAGAAATAGTGTTGAAATGTTTGAGTTAAGTTTTAATTAAAAGTGGGGGAAAAATCCAGTTCATATTAATTACGTATCAATCAAACCAGATGGGGACATTTTTGTCCCCTGAGGACCACAGGTGTGATTATGTGCTGCCATTTAAAAATGTTGAATGCTTCAAAAAAAAAATCATTCCCACTAAAGTTCAACATACAACACTCTGTGGTTAGTCAAATACTCAAAATAATCTGAACATTTAGGCCGTCACAGAGCAGCTGTATTTGTACTAGAGATGGCACGATACCACTTTTTTATGTCCGATACCGATATCATAAATTTGGATATCGGCCGATACCGATATGACTCCGATATAGTGTGTTTTAATCAATAAAACTGTTTTTTTAATATCTTGCTGCATTTTGTATAAGTTCATACTCAACAACACTAAAGCTATTCTGTTATACCTGTATGTAAAAAATACACTGCACCCAAAATATTTTATAGTTCAGCAAAACTGAACTACAAACTGAACTCCTTTTTGAACTGGTTTCCTCTTTCTGGTGCAAAGTGGGCCAAAAACAAACAAGAGAGACGGACTCGCGACAGAAAAACCCATCAGCTGATCATTAAGCCGTTTTATCACTGAAGTAGCAGCAGGACAGGGAGGGAGAGAGAAGAACCAGTTTACATGCAGCTTATCTCAGAACTGTCGGTGAAAATTATTCTTGGAGCTAGGTTTAATTGAACTGCATTTTAAAGAGGTGCAATTTCACAATTTGTGTATATTTTCTAAGTTCACTATTTTGTCATGTGTTGAGAAAAACACAGATTTAAAAATTACATGGTCTAATATTTACATTTAGCATATAACTGCAACATGCTTTTTTCGTTTTTTTTTTTAAAGACTCGAAAGGACTTGAAATTCAAAGTTTCAGACTTGTGACTTTACTTGGACTTTTGCACCAGTGACTTGAGACTCGACTCTGACTTGCCTGACATTACTTGAGACTTGACTTGAGACTTGAGGATAAAGACTTGAGACTTACTTGAGACTTGCAAAACAATGACTTGGTCCCACCTCTGCAATCTAATGTATGCTTTTTTAAATTGTATTTTGTAAGGAGAGGCTTTCAGTCGTGCAGGAACAACTAAGGAAGCTTCAACTCAAACTACTACAGGAGGTGGAAACCCGCTGGAACAGCACTTACAATATGCTGCAAAGACTTTTCGAGCAAAGGGAGCCAGTGGGTGCTGCTTTGGCAAGTCTCACAACAGACATCCCACCTATGTCATCTGAGGAATTTGGTATAATTTCAGAGTGTCTGGTTGTCCTATCACCATTTAACGATGCAACCACTGAGCTCTCTCAGGAAAAAAGGGTGTCTGGGTCAAAGGTCATACCTTTGCTCACTATGCTGGATCATTGCCTCAATAAACAAATGGAAAAACCACCATCCATTGGATCTTCTCTGGCTCAGAAGCTGAGGATGCTATTGAGAGAGAAGCTAGATAAAATACAGACCATGAGCATTATGTTTCTTGCGACACTGCTGGACCCAAGGTTCAGAAAACTCGGGTTTCTCAGCCCTGCAAGAGCTAGCGAAGCAGAAAAAAGACTGAAAGCAGAATGTGCTTCCGTAATGAGGGCCTCCACCACCTCTTCCTCCGCACCACCACCACAGCCATCAACGTCACAATCTGTTAAGGCTGTTTCCCACGGTACCATTGTTATTGCATTTTAGTTGCATTTATATAAACTGAATGTTGGGTTTTCCACTGTATCTATTATTGTATGATCTACTGTACAATATAAAGCGCCTTGAGGCAACTGTTGTTGTTATTTGGCACTATAGAAATAACATTGAATTGAAAATTGAATTGGTAGTATCTCATAAGACTCTCCTTTTTGTTTAGGTAACAAACTGTGGCGTCGCCTGGATCAGAGTGTCAGGCAGACACAGACACAAAATGTGACAGCAGACGCAAATATTGAGGTCCAACGGTACACGATGGAGCCAAATATTGGAAGGCTGGAGGACCCCCTTAAATACTGGGAGAGACAGCAATATGTCTACCCTCACTTATATAAGTTAGCATTGACATACCTGTGTACCCCTGCCTCATCTGTGCCCTGTGGGCGAGTGTTTTCAAAGGCAATTTCAATTGTTTTCAATTGGACTGGATTATGTTGTATAATGATAATTTGATTTATAAATAAACAAGTTAAACAAGTATATGCTTATTCTATAAACTACACTGCTGTTATATTCTGGCTACATACTGCAAATAGTAAACACTGACATATGAAATAAATGTCTTTTTTCATATAAATTAAAAACACAAAGTTGAAAAGTTGTATATGCTGTCATTTATTCCTGAATCAAGTAAGTCAAATGTCACATGGTTAGTTTTTTTTTGAAGAAACCAAAGGGTTTTTAGCTACAGTATATACCGGATTTCATGCATTTTACAGTACACATGGCATGAAATTTCTTTTTACATGCAATGAATTTTAAACAATCACTGTACAATGTTTGCAAAATGTTTATCTCAAAAAGATTCATTGTAGAGCAAAAAAGTAAAGTCACTTTGAAAACACAAAACTTCCATAATACTTCAGAGTACTTCAGAGTAAGTGAGGGATGGAGTGATTTCAGACATAGCTGTTTGTGTTTAGCGAATCAAACGTGGTAGCACTGACATTTATATGCACAATATTCATTCCTAAAAATATCAGGAGGGTATATTCACAGATATTCATCCTATTAATTTAGTTTACACCTACAACTAAAAAATGTGATCTTTGTTATTCTGCTGTTGCATCAGTCCCTGGACCTGGAACGTCTGCAGGATTTTCATTTATCATCTGTTTGTATTTGCTCTTGAAAAATCCAGCCTAGGAATGCAAGGAAAAAAAATCAAGCAATCATTAATTTCAGTGGCAGTAAAAATTTAAATAAATAACCAAGCTACATAAATGAATATTGTAACCTCTAAATTATTTTTTAACTGGAAATCTTCACTAAAATGTTTTAAACCTTTGTAATTATTGAAAAAGTGTAAGAAGTGTCTTTCACCTTGTACAGGCCAGCAGTGAGTAAAGCCAGAAAAGCCAACCCTCCCAGACATCCTCCAATAATTTCTTTGGTGAAATTTGGCTCAGGATACACTTCTACCACAACTTCAATCTGAGAGAAAACAGGATGTCGATGCCAAAGAAGCTCTTAATAACTCAAACAATAGACAAGAATGTGTACTCACCTTACGAACAGGAGGGTTGTCAGAACCTGTTGAAAAGTAGATGTACTGGTTTTTGTCGTACTCGAGACTGACTGTGCTGGTTAAGAGGAATTTGGCAGATTGAAGTCCAATCTAAGAAAAAAAAAATAGAATGAGCTGGCCATAAATTAGATTATTTCACTTACCAAGTTACTCATACATATACAGGAACAATGTGTGTTCACCTCTCGCCTCTGTGGACAGTCTTTATCCTTCAAGCTCGGGTCTGCTACCAGAGACATGGGAGCTTGAGGGTCCTGCTGGTCCCTTTGCTGTTCCGAGAACTGCATTCTTCTGCACAGATATTTCCTGGGATCGGCTGGAGCCATTCACCTAGCTTGGGGGTCACTGTAACGAGTGCTCCAATTACCACTGGGACCACTGTTACCTTCACCCTCCACATCTTCTCAAGCTCTTCTCTGAGTCCTTGGTACTTCTCCAGGTTCTCAAGTTCCTTCTTCCTAATGTTGCTGTCATTTGGTATCACTACGTCTATCACTACAGCCGCCTTCCTCTGCTTGTCCAGAGGAAGACGGCTGTCTTGTTGGTTAGCCATCACCATTTTGTCTGTCTGTATGTGGAAGTCCCACAGGATCTTCGCTCGGTCATTCTTGACCACCCTAGGGGGTGTCTCCTATTTTGACCTCATGATATCCAGCCCATACTTGACACAGATGTTTCTGTATACCAGTTTTTCCCAAACTTCTTTTGCTAGGCACGCCAAGTCCAGCCTCAGGATGCTGGACTTGGGCTGAAACCCTTCATGCATGGTCAGGCGCTTTCTCGTCTTGATATCAGTGGCTTCTCCTCCTTTGGCAAGATTATTACCCCAGTAGGGTAGCCAGTGTTGGGGAGTAACAGAATAGATGTACCGGCGTTAAGAATTTAAAATACAAAATATGAGTAACTGTATTCTGTTACAGTTACCGTTTAGATGGGTGAAAATTAGAATGCCATTTTTACCATCGGACTACATCACTCAAATCTGAATGAGCTTCGAATTAGGGATGAGTTTAAAAAATAGATTTCCAGATTCAAATCAGTCTTGGTTTTAATAAGCCAATATCGATTCATTAAATCCTAAATTGATATTTTAATATAAATGTATTTTGCCAGAAACATCAGAATCTCAGGTTAAAGCTCACGAAACTATTTCAACAACAGCCAAACAGCGAAAAAAGCAAATGAGAGAAATAAATGGTAAAATGGTAAATGGCCTGTATTTATATAGCGCTTTTACTAGTCCCTAAGGACCCGAAAGCACTTTATATATCCAGTCATCCACCCATTCACACACACATTCACACACTGGTGATGGCAAGCTACATTGTAGCCACAGCCACCCTGGGGCGCACTGACAGAGGCGAGGCTGCCGGACACTGGCGCCACCGGGCCCTCTGACCACCACCAGTAGGCAATGGGTGAAGTGTCTTGCCCAAGGACACAACGACCGAGACTGTCCAAGTCGGGGCTCGAACCGGCAACCTTCCGATTACAAGGCGAACACACAACTCTTGAGCCACGATCGCCCAGAAGGTAAACAGATTCCGCAAAAAGATATAAACACAAAGAGCGGATCGTTAACCCGACAGCACATACATGTACATGCTGCGGGAGCTGAAAGCCGACACCTCACAAATTCTGAAGCTGCAGGTTTCATCACTCTGTGCCCAACAGTGCATATCCTTGGTAGATCTCCCACTTGATGGTGACTTGTGCGATGGGGTTGAAGTTAGCTTCTAGTGTTGTACGCCACTTTCCCATTCAGTTCATGATGAAGGCTCCTAGAGTCCTGTTGATCTTTCAGGGCTCTAGAGTGCGACCAATTTGGTTGCAAATGCGACCAAATTTTTCAGTGGTGCGACTAAAAAAATATATTTGGTTGCACCTGTACGACCAACTGTTCCGGTAGCAAAAAAAAATAAAAAATCTGCAACCTTCGCTGTGGTCAACAACAGACACACATTATACCCCTATCGTGGACTAAACCAATCAGAGATAGTCAGGGGCGGGACCTCTCTGATTGGCCGTGGTCCAGTAGAAAGTGCAGGTGGAAGAGGGAGGTGAGTAGCTTGAATAAAGCGATATCAATTCATTAAATTCTGAATCAACTTTTAAATATAACTGTTTTGCCAGAAACGCCAGATTCTCAGATTAAAGCTCACAAAACCATTTCAACAACAACCAAACAGCAAATGAGAGCAGGTACACGGATTCCACACAAAGACGTAAACACTGAACGGACCCGACGCATCAGAATCAACTTTGTCTTTCTCGGCTTTCTCACCCGACGGCCCGTAGACGGACACGCTGTCGGAGCTTAGCGGTTCTGATGTGTCCGGTCCGCGCTGTGATTACGTCTTTTTGCGCTGATTCTGAGCTGCAGGTTTTGTCTCTCTCCATCCAAAAAGCCAGCAGCAAAAGAAGCAGCAAACTGCGCTTCACATTTGATCAATGTCGTCATGAATTTTGCTGTTTTGCTTCCACGACTATTAAAATCACACTTCATGCACAGCTAGCTCTCTCTCTATCTCTCTCTGTACTTCAAGAACAGTTTCCCGTCTCCAATCTCTGTTTTCTGTATTATTCGTTCGCTTATTACCCACCAGTCTACCGCTGTTTACAACGCTGTGGCTGCTGTCTTTTTCTTTTTTCACTTAAATGACCTCGGACAAGAAAGCCTATTTTTTCTGTTGTTCAATACTGAAGAAATTTAAACTTTATATGCAGAACATTGTAGAATATTTTTAAGGTTATCTGCTATAAAAAGCCAGACCAGGAAAATCTCCTTCATGTTTTTCTGTGTTTTATTCTCAGTTACTTTCACACAAAGGCATCTGCTGTGATGTTCACAATTCTGATGAAGTCAGTACTGATAAATGATCAGAATTATAATATTTCTGACTGTCTGAGGCTAAGTTGAATCGAATCAGGACTTTGAAAACCGGAATCGAATGGATTATAGAAATCAGTGATGATACCCAGCCCTAGTGAGCAGCCTAGGCACGACAGAAGTGTATGTAGCTGTAATAGGAAAAGAACTATTGCTAACTTTTCTGTTAACCTTCCTGCCTTCTTGGGACCTTTTTGTGCCACTGCTATGTGTTAAATGGCTGCCATTTCCACTGTGTTCAGTGGAATATAACCAAACTTGCCACAGGATAGTTTTTACCTGTCAATGTTAATATTCCAGTGTGAATTCCTTAAATCAGCCTAAAATGGCTGAGCAGCAGAAATCCCCACACCCATCACCCTGGGGACCATTTTCTGCCCATTGACTTCCATTATAAACGCTATTTTTCATCCCCAAATTATCATTATATGATTTTATTTTTTCTTCTTTTCTTGGATGTCAATGAAGACTCAGGGCCTTGAAGTTTTAATTTTTAAATTGCAAAAAAAATGCAAAAAAATAATGGCAGGTCAAAATGTATGTTGGTGCCAATCTTTGGTCCATCTAAAGGCCTACTTATAATGACAATTACATATTACTTCAACTGGTTTTTTGTGGAAATATTTAGTTTCATTTTTTGGGGCTTATAACACAGGGCGCTCATGTAATAACACTGGGATTTGAAGGGTTAAAACGACGACAATATAATTAAAACTTTACATGAATATTTCAGGGAGAAGTAGTTTTACAAGGTTGGCTAATTTAAAGTGGAATAAAATATGGATATATGGTCTTTTTATGGCGTTTTTGGGCGTGGCTGAGAATGGTCCCTAGGGTAATGGGTGTGAGTTTTTTAAAGGATGGCAGGAGGGTTAAGTTAAGGCCTGATCCTTCTGAAATTCATAGCCAGTGCTCTGACACGGTGTCATCAATCTTTGAATGCTGAAAAAGCACAGTGTATCCAGAAAAACACATTATATTATATAAATTATTATAAAATTTGTGTGCGCCTAACTTTTGTGCCGGTACACCTAACTTTTTAAAGTTAGGCGTACTGGTACGCCCATGGCAAAAAGTTAGTCTAGAGCCCTGTCTTTTACAGTTGTAGACATTCCAGGATCCAGGTGTGGGGCATCGAGTCATAGGCCTTCTTGTAGTCAATCCAGGCAGCACACAGGTTGGTCACCCTAGTGTTGCAGTCTTGGCTGACTGCTCTGCCTACCAGTAGCTAGTGTTTTGCGCCTCTGGTATTCTTGCCAATTCCCTTCTGTGCCCTGCTCATGTATTGAGCAATGTGCTTGTTCATTTTAGCCAGACAGTAGCTTCCATGTGGTACTGAGGGTGGTTATTGGCTGGTAGTTGGATGTGACTGGAATCTCTGGGAACTCTTTCAATACTGTTGGAAAACCATTTCAGGTGACTACATCACAAAGCTCATCGAGAGAATGTCAAGAGTATGCAAAGCAGTAATCAAAGCAAAGGGTGGCTGTTTTAAAGAATCTAAAATATATGTTTTGAGTTATTTCAAACATTTTTTTCTACATAATTCCATATGTGTTCATTCATAGTTTTGAAGTGTGTCCAAACATAATGCTAGGAAAGTACCTGCAGCGGGTCAGGGAAGTCCAGAGGGGTGAGCTGAACGGTAAGAACAACAGTAAGCTATCAACACCTACATCCTGCCCATGATCAGGTACCCTGCTGGAATAATAAGCTTGCCAAAGGAGGAGATAGAAGTCATTTAGATCAAGATGAGGAAGTTCCTGACCTTGCATGCATCCTGCGGCTGTATGTTAAGTGCAAGAAAGGAGGCCGGGGACTGGTGAGTGTCAGAACCACATTCCAGGATGAGACAAAGAACATCCATGAATGCATAATGAAAGTGGCCCCAACCAACCACTTGCTCAGTGAATACCCCAGGCAGCAGAAACCCAAGAATGAGGAGCAAGAGGAGGAACCATCATGGAAGGACAGGCCCCTGCACGGTATGTACCACCAGAGGAAGTGGCTGACATCCAGAAAGATCCTGTGGGACTTTCACATACAGATGGACAAAATGGTGATGCCTAACCAACCTGACACAGTAGTGGTAGAAAAGCAGAAGAAGATGGCTGTAGTGATAGATGTAGCAATCCTGAATGACAGCAACATCAGAAAGAAGGAACATGAGAAGCTGGAAAAGTACCAAGGGCTCAGAGAAGAGCTTGAGAAGATGCGGAGGGTGAAGGTAACAGTGGTAATCAGAGCACTAGATGCAGTGACTCCCAAGCTAGGCAAGAGGCTCCAGCAGATTCCAGGAACAACATCTGAGATCTCTGTCCAGAAGAGCGCAGTCCTATGAACAGCAAGGATACTGCACAGGACCCTCAAGCTCCCAGGCCTATGGTAGAGGACAGTCGCTTGAAGGATAGACCGCCCGCAGGGGCGAGAGGGGAATTTTTTTTATATACAGTATATATACATATATATATATTAATGAAACATGTAACACAAATTTCGCTTCAACTACCTGCTCTATCCATCCTGAACTGAGGTTGGCAGATATTTCATATGTCCTCTTCATCCGTCTTTCCAGGAATGTGTTGCACTTGAACACTCTGCACCTGGCTACAGAGCAGTCCTGTTGGTGATTTAAAGAAGACTGAACGGAACACTTGTCTTGACCCAGTGCAATTTGAATTTTAAAATCTACTGTGAATTTACATTTCAGTAGCTAATGTGCAGAGGTGTACTTACAACTACTTTATTTGTCAGTATTTGAGGAACAAGATTTTTGAAAGGTGGTTCTTCATCATTTCCTCTCTGACAGTCTGTGATCTGGAATACATTTAAGTGCCAGTGTGATTGGTCCTCACATACATCTGTCCCACAGCTAAGCTTGAGCCATTTTGGGGTCAGCAGCTAAATCTTCTGGAATATAAATTACCTGTAGATTGCTCAAATCCACCCAAATGTCTTTTTCACCAAGCTTCACTGGAACCCTGATCACCACAGTGAAATTAAGCGCTCTGATATCATTTGTAATCTAAACAAGAAAAGAAAAGAATTACAAGCTTTATAGCTAGGTTTATATAACACAATACATTTAAAAAAAAATAAAAATCTATGGAGAAGGTATATTTCACCGTGACTGACTGTTGAACTGGTTTCTGCGAACTATTCATCCCAAATGTGAAATTGTTGTAACTGAGGGAGCTAAACAGATATATTTTTAAGGTTAAATACAAAGAAAAACAATTAGATAGATAGATTGATTTAAATAGAACAGCACATACTTTTCAAATGTCATAAAAATGCTGTATTTCACATAAATTGATTTCTTTTTGTAGAGTTCACTTGTTGTGGCATGCTCCTGATTTCCACTGAAAGAGAGAATTGAAAATATTTGTATTGTGTCTGGGATATTGCTTTAATGAGTACCTGTAGCAAAATGAAAAGTACCTGCTGGCATTCACAGTGACAAAGATCTTCCTCTCAAGTTGACTGTTGGTGTCAATTCCATAGGAAACAATGAAGAAAACCTTAATTGAATGAGAGAGATAAGACTGAGTAATAATTTTTGCTAAATTATGCAGAACTTAGAATATACTTTATGTATAAAGAAAACAAACAAACCTTAGTTTTGCTCTTGAAAATTGGCTTGTCAATAGTGCAGTCTGTCCTTCCCCGGGATAAACCATCTTCACTGTCCAAGGGGCTGCACTCAATTCTTCCCTTTATTATAAAATAAAATGACTGCTAGATGGATTGGAAGAGCAGTAGATCAGTGATGAATTGATACAGACTTGATCCTGATACCTTACCTGCTGACTCGTGAACTTCCTGTAGGAGAGTCCAGCTGGGTACGTGAGAATAACACGGCTGTTGTAGGAGTTTTCTCCTCTGTTCTCCACTGTGACTGTGACATTCAAAAGCTCATCAATGCCCACTTTAACCTCTGAGGATCTGGCAGAGTATAAAGGAGGATGAGAACAAAGGAAAGGGAAAGCAGCCAAGCAAAGTCTTGTAATTCTGCCACACCTGGTGAAGTTGAAATCCACTTTCAGGTTATCAACACACTTGTTGTCATTGCCACAGTTGATGTCAAACCCTAACTGTGGAAGAGAGCATGATGGAAAAAAGTATTTACATGACGTTTTATTTACGGATTGCAATTTGAACATTGTATAGCCAAATCCAATGACCAATTTTTGTGTGCTGCCATTTAGTGGAGGCTTTGTGTTGTTGTTACAGGAAACAAAACAATTTTTGTTAATATTCTTGTTCCATTTATGGAAGACATCTTGGTCCTCTGGACGCTCAGGGAAACAATTTAAAGTGTATAATCTAAGACACAAACTATAATTTTAAGGTAAAGAACTATGTAGAGTAGGACTCATTTTTCCAAAAACTGATGCCTATGCGTGTAGACAAAAGAATTAGAATTCAGGGTGTGGAGCAAGTTGTTTTGTTAATAGACTTACAGGATGAATGGTTGTTGTTTTAGCCTGTGGGGACAGACTTGGTTTGGGATCTGTGTTGGAAGATAAACCATCAAATGTGAATTTGAGCTCATTGGAGAGCACATTGAGAGAGTCTTCAGGACAGGCCTGCAAGAAGAGGGATGAATGGTTTAGATTCAGTGTTAAAGGACTCTTTGCATTGAAATCGATTGATTGTATTGTATTGTTTATATTTTGTTTTGTTTTTTTCCAGATATTGTTAGATTTTACCTCAATATAGAATTTTACAGTTGAACACTGTCTGTTTCTTATGTCTATAGTAAATGATCCAGACTGCTCTTGTTGTTTCCCACTGATGTACGCTCGGTTGTTCAGAGGTTTGCGAGTGGCATCCAGCGTTAAATTATAATTAATCCTTGCTTCAGCTGGAATAAATCACAAATGGATTTCAATGCTATGAATTTATATAAATAAAAAACATTAAGCTGATGGGCAGTGACTTTGTAGTTTAGAAAAGGAGAGGAGAATGATGGACCTGTGTTGACTGTAGACACTCTGCTCATGGTAAAGCAGAGTTCAGCTGTGTTCTCGAGTGGTTTTGAGCAGTCTACATTCGTAGTAAGGATTTGCTTTGGGCTGAATGAAACATCAGTTTTCACGATTACTATGGGCCTTGATCTGGAAAGTAGTAATATACATGTGAACTACTTTTACCTTCATAATTAATAACATACTAACATATGGTATCATTAGTGGTGTTCTCACCAGAATTAGTAACACGATTTCACAAAAGTAAGCACAACACATTTTATAAACCACTACTGCTTAAAGGTTTTTGGTCACTTAATAATATTTTTAAGATGGCAGAAACATTGCCAACAATAACACATGATTGGACTGTCTTGGACTTACCTCAATAAAACAACTTTGCCCTTTGAACCCACCGCTAAGTCAGGCAGTCCATCACCACTCTGGTCAAAAGATGACTGACTGATTGACACGCCAAAGAACTTCAGTCCTGACTCGACCTCAGAGCCAGTAATTCTCTGTGTACATGGAAATATTTTATCTAATCAAGTTGCAGATTTTGTCAATATTGAGATTACATGATAGATGAGTTTAGACATCATTGTGAGCTCTCTGATGCTGTGCACCTGTGAGTAAGTAGGACTGATTCGTCCTCCTTCACTGTGGAATATGTAGATGCTGCCTTCACCATTATTCTCCAAAGGTGCTCCAACTGCCAAATCCCTGAATCCATCTGAGTTTAGATCAGGCAGCACAGCAAGAGAAGAGCCGAACCTTCCTTTGACAGCTGCATGTCCTCTTAGTACTAACGGATCATCAAAATTACACTCCACAAACTAAAAGGAAGAGAGTTAATATTTTATGATCATTAAGAAAGTTGGCAAATAAACTGATTAATTTAACTGTAGTACATAAAATATTATAAATATATTTACCGAACCAGTTAATCTGCAAACATAAACTCTTCCCTCTCTATCAGGCTCCGTGTACATTGGGGCTGATATAAAGATTAGATCAGTGATGTCATCATTATTTATGTCCATGGCACACACCTCTGCCCCGAAATATTCACCAGTCTGATACTGTGTAAGGAACAAATTATTAAAGAAAAAACATCAGATACATAAAAATGATACAGGTTTTGATTATAGTTTATTTTTCATGTCCGCCTTATACTGTAAAGCTGTACCTGCCACGGAAACGGCTCAATCGTTTGTTTCATAAAGCTTTGTCTGTTAGCTGTTGAGAACTGTAAACTCCATGTCACAGCAAGCACTGTTCCTCTGTGTTTGAACCTTGGAGCACCAATAACTGTCAGTGAGCCACGCTGGGTTTTAGCAATTGCCATGGAGTAACCTAGAATTTAACAGTCAAGCAGTCAAAGTCATTAGTTAAAAAAATCAAATGTGGCTAACATAGACAAATTGTATAGATTTTTCTAAAGTACCTCTGCAGGGAGCAAAGTTTGAAATTACATATTTCAACAACTGTCTAACATACCAGATTAAAACAAACAAAAAAACTTACTTGTATCCTATAATTCAGCCATCATTTGCAGTAAGAAGCCTTCTATTTCAACATACCCTTTTCTTGCCTTAAGCCTACTGCATGTTACAGATGTCTGCAGACCAAAAGAAGTCTTCACCTAATTTTATTCTGAATCTATTTGATATTTAAAGTGATTACAATTTCTATACTCTGAATCACAAAGGAACCCCCAACATACTTACTAGTGAGCATATCCATCCAACCATACATTCATCCATTTGTCTATCATCTTACTATTGAGGGCAGTTTTTGGTCATTTAATAAACCTAAATTTATTTGTTATTGTTGTCTTTTCATATTCCAGTCTTCTGGGTTTTCCAGGTTTTTTTATTTATTGTTTTTATTATTTTAATTGTAGCCATTTGTTTCATATTTTATGTTAAGTAACAGACAATCAAAACAATGTGACTGATATTAAAATGTTTTTAGCATATACACCTTCAGCATTTTGAATATTTTTTTCAGTTTTTATATTTCATCCAATAATAATAATTACAGCATAGCTATGTTTACACTTAGTTTGTTGTCAGTGTAATATTCTCACCAAGATAACTGTCAGGCTCCAATGGCATCTCGTATGTTTTCACCCTGTCATACCCAGTTGTAAATTGAGTATAGCCTCCCGTCCACTGGTTGGCACCAACAATAGACATTTGAATTCCCTGCAGTGTAGATAGATATATATTGAATTCATAGAAATTAATTTAAAATCTGAAGTTTGTTTGGCTGCCCTTTTTTGTATATCACTTGACTGTCTGGTTAGTTTAAAGTGGTTTTAATTACCTCAGGCACATAAGCTACATTGAATCCCTCTTGAGCCATTTCCATTCTCAGTGACTCCCCACTGGTCTGAGATCCTGAAACACAAAAATAAACACAAATTTAAAAGACTGTAATAAATTCCGATTTGCTCATTCATGCTATTATTATGACTTAATGGTATAATTCTAAATAATGACTTGCTGTTTATTGAAAGCATGTCAGAGTGTATTTTGGTCATTTTACAAATGGACAAAGATAAAATTATCAACTTCAGATGGAAGAATTGCTATAAATTTTAAATACAGTTAGGACCACGAGTTTCTGGACAATGACTCAAGCTGTGCACATTTTCAGCTTTGATTCAAGTTGTTTGAAATAAAGACAATAACCATATTCATAAAAGTAAATAACAACTGAAACAGCAAAAAAAGCACAGACATGCGTAACAGACATGTCTGTAGACATGTAATAGAGGGGGGAAGACACAGCACCGAAACACTGATGAGAATACTACAGAGAGTATTAAAATTTAATCAGAACTGGAGATCTCAAGTACTAGGGATATCTGAGAAGCCAAAAACAAACAATGGAATAATGAAAACACAGGATTCCTAATATTATAAATTAATTTATTAATCAGAAACTTCCAAAAATAAAGTAATTTAGAAACAAATCCCACCAGTCACCAAATTCCTTTTTCTCCATTGTAATGCTCTACCAGGCCTTTACTCCAGAAAATGTCAACAAAGCAAGTTTATGTTTGTACCTTCGATAGAGATTTTTTTCTCTAAGTTCTGTCTTATTATTTCAAGTGCGTTGAAGTCTCTAACTTGAAACACGTGTTTGTCTGAGGGAAAAGATGCAATGGTGTCCAGTTCTTGTTTTGCCTCAGGTTTATTAAACGCATCCCCCACCTAGAGGGGAAATACATACACACACACACATTGAAGTTATTATATTGTGTGGATTTGTTTCCCTATTAAACCAAAGGGATCCAAGTATATTTGCATTTGCAATGAGTACTGAGTTTGTATACTGTACTCTCATAATTTCCCCAAAATAACAAAATGCTCTTATAGATGCTAACATCTAAATACATTATAATAGCCGTTTTTACATATCTATCACCCATAGCAATCAGTTTCCTATCAATGTTTGTACTTTTTAAATTGCATAAGAAAATTAGTAAGTAAGTAAGTAAAATTTTATTTATATAGCACCTTTCAAGATAAAAGTGCTTCACAGAAGCTAAAACCTAAAAATAAAAGTCAACCAAAAGCAAGTTTTAAAAGATGAGTTTTTAGCTGTCTTTTAAAAGCGACCACGGAGTCCACAGATCTCAGGCTCAAAGGGAGAGAGTTCCACAATCTGGGGGCCACAGTTACAAAAGCTCTGTCGCCTTTTGTTTTCAGCCTCGCATGTTGGACGACCAGCCCTGGTCACGTGACCTCAGGAACTGCTGGGAATGTATAAATTAGGTTAACTTTACAGGCTCAATGAACAGGTACTTACCCCAATAGCAAATCGAACTATTTTTTTACTCTCAGCTAGCTGTGCTGCATATGGTAAGCGATTTGAGTCTTGAGATTCTCCATCAGTTATAACTATCAGCACCTTCTTTGCATTTGATCTGGATCCCCTTTGTGGTGTAAAAACATTTTGGCTGTTGAATGAAGAAAATAGAGTTTCAGTTCATCTTTCATCTTGTTGTCTTAGAGGTTAAGTAAAATAACCTCTTAAATAACAATCATACCCTGCTTTCTAACAGTATTTTCTTCTAACATAACAGGGAATTTAGATTTCAGTTAAATATAGCTCTACAAGTACAGTTTTTATATCTAATATCTGACTTGCTCCATTAACTGTATAGACATCCACAAACACTAGACTCTTTTGAAAAAGGTTACATCAGTGTTTTGGATAAAAAGATCACACAATAAACATGCAAAATCTTGGCAGCACTTACACAGCATGTTCGATGGCCTTAGCTGTGTAAGTTCCTCCATGTAGTTGTGTAATTCTATCAATGTTAGATTTCCATGATCCAGATGAGAAAAAATTATTAAAGTAGTAATGGACCTTTGGTGAATGAGAGAACTGGGAAACAGAAAACTGAAGAAAAAACATGCACAGAGAAATAAGTGGAAAGTGGAAATAAGTGGAAAACATAAGAAAAAAAAACATATTTTTATGGAAATTTAAAAAAGCTACATGTACTTGTAATGTCTATGTCTAACTGAGAATAGCAGTGCAGTTCCTCACCTTTGTATCACTTGAGAGAAATGACCCAACGAGGTTTTTCACAAAGGTCTTCATTTTTTGAAAATCTTGACTTTTTACACTCCCTGAACCATCCAACAGAAAGGCGATGTCTGTTCCAATCAGGCATTCTGTCAAACAGATGGGCAAGGAATGCTCTTTTAGTGTTTCTGAACTGCTCTCTGTGCCCTTTTTGTGGAAAAGACTGAATTTCTTGGTATTCTGGAAGAATAATATTAACATCATTGTTTTCCCTTTAAATCTCCTTTTCACTTCTTTTTTGGGCCCTATTTAACTTGAAATTGAGTCCTGTGTTTGAATGTTTAACACCACTTAAGACTTAGCACAACTCGCATAACAAAATAAAACAACTTTCTTTGTGGTCTGCAGTGAATTTAAAACAAAAATTTTCACTTCTTAATTTCAAATTTTATTTGTTAAAAAATTACTTTTTTATTAGTTACACTACTTTTTGAAGTTATTTGTATTTCTTTCTAGAAGCTATAAGAAATCACAAACAAAGAAAAGGAAACATGTCACTCTTAGACTGTCACGGCTGAGCAGCCGGTGCGTTTCAGATGTGAACCCAAATGCAGACACAGGAGAACAGAACCTGAATTCAAACAGAAAGCGAGCCTTTATTTGGTTGATGGAAGGAGGAAACATGAAAACTAAGGAAACGATGAACAAACTGCAAAACTATGAGCAAACTATGACAGACTATGAGAAACGATGACTCAAAATAACAGACTATGATAAATTAGACAAGACACAAACGCAGAAACCAAGGAGACAATCATAAATAATGGCTGACTTTAACCTCAACTGAAAGCTAAATAGGAATAACACATGATCATGATATAATCACAAATCTAACATGAGATGAATAAAAAAATATACTCAGACCGCTGGTTCAGAGACCCAGCCTGTGACACCAGACCATGGTTGTTTAAGTTGACTAAAACTAAACAAAGAAAAATTAAAAAAACAAAAAACTCTTTTTTTAATTAACCCAATCAAATTCAAACTAGTAACATGTAGTTACAATTAATAAAAAAAACTAAAATGTACAAATTTTGTCCTATTTGCCAACTCAATCAGTCTGCTGAATACAAGCACTGTTTCTCTTCTTAAGGGGCGTGGGGGTTCAAATGTACATGTATGGTTTGCAGTTCTTGATGAAGAGACACTGTAATTCTATTATATGTGGCACATGCAATGACAATAAGTATTATACTCTGTTTTATGTTGTCTCAACTAAACTCCTCTTTGTATCAATCAAAGCTTACATTGCAAAAAAAAAAAGAAAGTGATTAGATTTTGTTCATTCTGTGACCCCCACAGCCCATGTTGTATGTGTGGGCATGCATGAAACATAAGTATATTTTCAAATAATATAAGTATGCTAATTACCGTCAATGGAAGAAGGGATTGGAGGTCCAAATATATTGTACTGGTCTATCTGAAAACACACACCATTGTACATAGTGTAGCTTTTGCAGTCCTTTGGAATAGTTGGACCACATGCCTGAAAAGAAAGAAAAGGTCAAATTCTGATTAGAGTTAACTGATTATTTTCCTGTGCCAGTGTATTTGCAGTTCACCAACTCACCACAGTGTTTTGGGTTCCAGGATCACTTTTCATTGTCAAACCAAGAGACATGTTGATTGCAAAATCTGGCTCTGGATTGGAAGCATTCATTAGATGTTAAAACACTCATAAAATACATTTTGTGATCACTATAAAAAAAAAGTTGAATATGATTTAATGAATACTTGAAAAATGCTGTCAGAGTTTCAGGACATTCTGTTGAGACATTAAGAAACTACCTACCTTGAAATTGTATATTTTGGCAGTTTTCTCCAGAGGTGGTACACCTATATATTTTCCCTTTTCTGTTTTGTGAATACTGTTCTAGTGGGGCACTGATGAGCAAGCTAACGAGAGAAAACCAAACATAAGATACAAGTTTGGTGGATGAGGTGAAGTGAAAAAGCTCCCATTGTTTTAATAAGGATTACATGATTCAATATTTCTTTGACAAAAAAGCAAAAGTATTACTCTGATTGTCTTTGAACCACCTGGTAGCCAAAACCAGCAGCAGAGCTCCTCAGGGTCTTCCAAGCCGCAGGATCGATATTGAAACAAAGCGCTGCATTTAAGACTGAGAATTAAAGAAGAAAGAAAAACATTATTGAAGCTGATTATGGAATAATAATGTGATTTTATCAGCACTATCTATAATCACTTATAGAAACAGTATACAGTCTGTGTTAGTTTCATTGTATTTCTTGAATGCAGCCACAATGTTTCTTTTATGACCACTAGAGGGCACCAAAGTCCAACATTTTAAAGCTCTGAATTTTGTTACTCAGAACAGTTATTCAGTTAAAAAACATTTTTAATATTTTAATTTGGAATCAGTTTTGTGTCTTTGATTGTTGTATTTTAATCGATCAGTCCAAGAGTAAGTGCTGAAACATAAACTTTAAAGAAAAGATATTGTAGTACTTTTTAAAGCTCCAGATATTTATCAGGTATACCACAGTATCAAAACATATCATTACTATACTGTATAATTTGCTTATTTATAGTATTGAAAAAAATGCAGCTAAATAGACAATCACACCTGTGTGCACATACATCCTGCTCTCCTGAACTATGTCAGATTCATCAAGTTATGACAAAAACACACACACACACACTTACAAACAAAAACGCACACAACATAAGGCCTTGGGATTAGTGTTGGCCTGACAAAGACTTTAATCCTGCCCACTGGACACCTTGAAAAAGAGGGCATACATTTTAGACTTTTAACTGTATATATCTATTTTATAAGAGTTAAAGATTTTCCTACAGATAAACACACACACACACACAACCTGCAAATCAGCAAGACCTATTTAGAGACAGGAGTCAAAAAGTTCAAAGCAGTTGGAAGGACCAGTCTCCACAGGGCTTTTGCTTAGACCCAGACTCATGTCAATATTATCCCAGAGTCCACACCAGAGTCACACACCACTCAACAGCTCGCAATTTCCAAATCCTGTGCACATGGACAGACTGGTGAACATAACTTAACATAACTAACATAACATAACTTTACAACAAATCCAAACAATAACCAAAGTAGGAGTAGCACTTCACTAGCTGCTTTCAAGGCACCAAGCCATCAAAAGCTGATGCACTGCTGCATCCTTTCAAAGCTGCCCAAACAAACTCATCAGAGCGAGTGTGTGATTGCCACCAGGTATGTGACCCTGAAGGAACATAGGCCAACACACACACACACACTTACAAACAAAAACACACACACATAAGTCAGAAAATGTCTGAGATAAGTAAGGTTTGTATAGCATTTCTATAAATCCCAAAAATAAATTGAAATCAGAAAACTGTGATTACTAACTTTGATATTCAAAAAATACAGAGAGGCAAATTTTTTCTCAGATGAAAACCATAAAATTACAATCTAATTTTACATTGCAAATTGAATGTCCTGTAGAGGGCTTCCCCCTGAAATGACTGGCCTTATTTTTGCCTTCATTTTTTGGGCATTAGCTTTACACAGCTGTCTGAAATAACCAGTATATCATATAGTGCTTGTTCTCCATAATGTACATGTATTTGAAAAATATACCTCATCATTATTACATGCACTCATTTTTTTTCTTGTCACCATGACTCAGCCATATTAATATGATCATTATTGTTTCAACAATAGTTAAAAACTATCAATCCGCTTAGAATTTGTTTGATTTTTCATGTTATTTACATTTCTGCTCAATTGTTATACAGACATGAATAAACATGATATTAAACATGTCAGAATAAACTGGACAGATACATATGATGTGACATTAATGTAAAAAGCCTCAGGTTTGGTTTAGCCCCATACAGGGCTAAACCAAACCTAACAGTACATAACAGTCAGATATGTATGTATAACGATTGCATGGACTTATTACAGTTTTTGAACCTGTTTTAGTTTTATGATTGAAAAACACAGTTTTCATCAAAATGCCAGTCATAATTTTACTGTTTGCTGACCTTCATAATTAGAAAATAATAGATAAAATCACAACACACAAACTTGTTTTACCTGACAGGAATAGTGTAGCACTAGATATCCAGTCCATTGTGTGAGATGTTACATCTGCTGATAGTGTCAGAGAAGAGTTGAAACCAGAAATACAAAAATGATACAGTGCTTCCTCAAAGATAAGACAGTTATTTAAAGGAATTATTATGTAGGAGGAGTTACATCATTATTTTATGACACTTTAGACTGTGGTGGTATTGCTTAAGTCTTATCCAGTGATTCAAGCACTTGATTTTTATAACAACTGAAACGTTTATTAGTTTCTAGGCAACAAAATCAACTCATGTAAATAATAATTAAAGGTTTTATTTGGCTATTTATTATTCTAACTTCAGTTTTTGTTGCCAATAGATTGGTACAGCATCTGGAGTGGTGTGGAGACTGTACTAGTCTGTCATGGTAAACAGAGAGCATGAAAGGAAAGCTCTCGATTTATTGATCTGTGTTTCTAAGATCATCTATGAGCAAATCAATTATTAGTGACTGAAAGATTGTGTTTATGGATGTATACAATGGAAATTCACTTCCTCTGAGATATGGTTGAGGAGATCAGTCATTTGGGAAAGCTGTTGCATCTTCACATCAAAATGGGTGTGAGCAGTGATGAGGGGTCATGGGTGCAAATATACCTCTACTTTAGACAACGCCCTTTCAGTTCCAGTGTGTTGACTAAACATTCATGGATTACCACTAATGCTTCACAGCACGTCACTGTGACTCAATACGGACTCAAGTCATGCAGTGTAAAAACAACAAAATTATTCAAGGTGAAGAAATGTAATATTCTTCAATGGCCAAAAATATGTTAATGTACAAAAACGAACTATTTTTTATAACTAGAACATTTACAGGAATTTGTTTTTAATCTTGAATGGATTAAATGTTATCCTGAAAAGAGTGCTTTATTATTTCAAGTATGTTGAGTGTCCTGACTTGGAACACATTTGTCAGAAGAAGATGTCATGGTGTCCATTTCCTGTTTTGAGCATATTTCAGCTGCCGTAGGGCGAGAGGTGGGGTACACATCACCAGTCTGTCATAGGACTAACACAGAGAGACAGACAACCATTTGTACTCACAAGTAACAGTAGTAGTAGTAATATAACAAAAATATAGCTAGATGACATGGTCTCATTCAAAACAATAATCTGTTGAACACAATTTAATCATGGGAAAATTTTCCAGGTAATTAAATCAAGTTAACATAGGTTTTGTTAATTCACAGAAAATGTTCACTTTTTGTTCTTACTTTTTTCTCTAGACCCCTTGTATTTGATTACTGTTATTTAGTATGAATAGTTTTTGAATCGTATTAACTCATTGCTGTTTTAATACTGAAAAGTGGGCTTGTTTCTATTCTATTAGTTTTTTTGATTTCCCCGTGTGTGAGTTTTTCTGTTTTCTCTAATATCTTCTTCAGTATATCATATCATGTTTATATTATGTTATGTTGTTTGATGTTTTCTTCTTGTGTCCTTGTCTCTCTGTTTTTGGTTTCAAGTCTGTGCCTCCATTCTCCATTTTCCCTATGTGTGTGTGTGTGTGTGTGTGTGTGTGTGTGTGTGTGTGTGTGTGTGCGCGCGCGTTGGCCTATGTTCCTTCAGGATCACATACCTTTTGGCAATCACACACTCGCTCTGATGAGATCGTTTGGGCAGCTTTGAAAGGATGCAGCAGTGCATCAGCTTATGATGGCTTGGTGCCTTGAAAGCAGCTAGTGAAGTGCTACTCCTACTTTGGTTATTGTTTGGATTTGTTGTAAAGTTATGTTCATCAGTCTGTCCATGTGCACAGGATTTGGAAATTGCGAGCTGTTGAGTGGTGTGTGACTCTGGTGTGGACTCTGGGATAATATTGACATGAGTCTGGGTCTAAGCAAAAGCCCTGTGGAGACTGGTCCTTCCAACTGCTTTGAACTTTTTGAGTCCTGTCTCTAAATAGGTCTTGCTGATATTTGCAGGTTGTGTGTGTGTGTGTGTGTTTATCTGTAGGAAAATCTTTAACACTTATAAAATAGATATATACAGTTAAAAGTCTAAAATTTATGCCCTCTTTTTCAAGGTGTCCAGTGGGCAGGATTAAAGTCTTTGTCAGGCCAACACTAGTCCCAAGGCCTTATGTTTGACACCCCTAATTTATAAGGTTGTTGAAATCTGCAGACAGCTGAGACTGAAAAACTCACTTAGATGAGTTTATGAATGTTTCTTCCACTAAAAACACTGCAAACAGATGAACAGAATCAACTTTTTAGGATGTTGTTACAAGAATGATTGTGCATGCATCACACTAAACAGTCCATTGTGTTACATCCATGAAAGTAGTTTGAGAAATGAGTGACGTATTGATTCTGCTGACAAAGTCAGAGTTGAAAACCAAAATGCAGAAGTTACAGGGTGACTGTTCAGAGTTACGTCAGTGATTTAGAGGAAGCCCTGTGTACACCGAGCTACAATACTGACAGCACTATGTTTTAAACAGTACATGACACTGTATTGGGATTATTTTCGTTTTTGATCATATAAACAATATACATACAGATGATGCCAGAAAGGTCTAAGGATTAATGGCTGATGCATGTGGATTGGTTGCAGTCATGTGTAGCTTCCTTAAAAATTCCTACTTCTTTCCACTTCCTGCAGTGTCACTATGTGTCAAAACTATTCACAAAATCACCTATTGGTGGTGCTAAAGAGACAGTTGCGCCAAAACTATCAGCACAAAACTACAAAAACTAACAAGAATTTGCATGTATCGCACTGCACTAAGCACAAAAATTCTAATTCACTGTACAATGTTTGCAATTCAAACTCAGAAATATTCATTGTATAGTAAAGTGTAAAGTGTTGAATGAGTGGGTGAAAGAATGATGTCAGATATAGCAAGCTGTTTTTGGTTTAATTAATCCAATGTGGTAGCATTGACATTTTTACACAAAATGTTGACTTCTAAAATTATAAGGAGGATCTATAGCTTTCATATAGTTTAAACATGCAACTACAAATGTGATCTTTATTTTTCTGCCGGGGATGGACTTCCATCAGTCCCTGGATCTGGACCGTCCTCTGCATTGTCATTTATCATCTGCTTGTACTTACTCTCAAAAAATCCAGCCTAGAATTGCAAGGAAAAACATAAAAATGCACCAGTCATCCATTAAAAAGATTAGTGAAAAAAAACAAAGCTATATGAGTGAATATACTAACCTTTAAACTATTTTTAACTGAACATGTTATCTAAAAACTTTAAAGCTGTGCAAGTAATTGAAAAAAAGTCTAAAAAGTGTATTTTACCTTATACAGACCAGCAGTGAGTAAAGCCAGAAAAGCCAACCCTCCCAGACATCCTCCAATGATCTCTTTGGTGAAATTTGCCTCAGAATATACTTCAACCACTGCTTCAAGCTGAGAGATAATAGAATATGGATTATATTCAAGATCTTTTACAACTCAGACAAGAGAAAAAAAATATGTAATCACCTTGTGAACAGGAGGATTGTTGTTAGACACTGTTGAAAAGTAGATGTATTGGCTTTGGTCATACTCCACAGTGGCTGTACTGGTCAAGAGGAATTTGGTAGATTGCAGTCCAATCTAAGAAAAATGGAACACAATGAGCCAAAATTGGGTGTTTTTTGATTTAATAGGAAACATACTTATCTTAAAAAAAGTTATTAGTACATACTCAGGAACAAATCTTAATGAGACAACACAAACTTCCCTTCAACTACCTGCTCTATCCATTGTGAACTAATGTTGGCAGAGATTTCGTATGTCCTACTCTGCAGTCTTTTCAAGAATGAGTTGCACTTGAACACTCTGCACCTGGCTACAGAGCAGTCCTGAGGGTGAGAAAATGCAACATAAGCTGTGATACCGTGTAATGTGATTTCTTTTTAAATCTACAATTAGGGTAAATATGAACAGTTAAGTACCAAGGCATACTTACCACCACTTTATTCTTTTGTATTTTTGGAACAAAATCTCTGACACTTGGTTCTTCATCATTTCCTCTCTGACAATCTGAAATCTGTGTTTGATTTATCAAATAAAAAACAGTTTGATAGTTTTATTAGTTCTAATTTCACCACATCCATCCATCCATATCAAAATTTAAGCCATTTGTGGAGTCAAAAACTAAGACTTCTGACAAATGTAATACCTGTAGACTGCTCAAATCCACCCAAATGTCTTTTTCACCAAGTTTCACTGGAACTTTGATCACCACAATGAAATTAAGCGCTCTGATATAGTTTGAAACCTAAACAAGTAAAGAAAAGGACAATCAACCATTAAATTTAGGTCTAAATGATACAATGGACTCATACAATGGAAAAATATAGATACAGTGTTGGGAAAAAGTGAATTCCTATTTTTTTTTTTGTATGTTTGTCACACCTAAATGTTTTAGACCATCAAACAACGTTAAATATTAGACAAAAATAACAAGTAAATACAAAAGGCAGTTTCTAAATGAAGGTGTTTATGTTTGAGAGGAAAAAATATCCAAACCTACATGGGCCCATTCATTGTTGCAGAATTGTTGTAATTCAGACACAATGGAGGGTTTTTGAGAATTAAAACCACAGTAATCAGGCCTTGCAGTAATCAGGCCTGGGTGTGGCTAGAGGAATTGTACAACTTTCCAAAAATGTGATACACCACAGTTAACTTGTGTTATAAAATTAACATAAATGTCTTTTTCTATTATCTTGGTCTAATAACAACATTTTTTTGGATTATCTGATAAACATTTAAGTGTGACAGACATATACAAAAAAAAAACAGTAACTCTGGAAAGAGGCAAAAACTTTTTCACACCACTGTAGAAGTTTAAATGTACCTTAACTGATTGTTGGACTGGTTTCTTCAAATCATTCTTCCCAAATGTGAAATTGTTGTAGCTTAGTGAGCTAAACAGATAATGTATATTTAATGTTTAAAATATATATAATACTTGTTATTACATACTTATTTGTTACTTACTACATGTAATTCTTTCTTTAGTTACAAACAAAACAACACATACCTCGCAAATGTCATAAAAATGCTGTATTTTACATTAATTGATTTCCTTTTGTAAAGTTCACTTGTAGGGGCATGCTCCTGATTTCCACTGAAAGAGAGAAGTGAACATATTTGTAATGTATACATGGGGCTGTTACTTAAATGAGGAAGGAACATTACCTGGTGGCATTTGCAGTGATAAAGATCTCCCTCTCAAATTGACTGTTGGTGTCAATCCCATAGGAGACAATGAAGGAAGCCTTAATTGAATGAGAAAGATGAGTGACTTCTCTTTGCCTTTAAATTGTGCAAAATTCAGAAAAAAAAATTGATAAAAAAAATGTTATTTACAAAAAAACACCTTAGTTTTGCTCTTGAAAATTGGCTTGTCAATAGTGCAGTGTGTCCATCCCCGGGATAAATCATCTTCACTGTCCAAGGAGTTGCACTCAATTCTTCCCTTTATTAAAAAACAAAATGATTCCTGGATGCATTTGAACAACAACAGATCAGTGATGAACCGATACAGACGTGATCCTGGTGCCTTACCTGCTGACTCGTGAACTTCCTGTAGGACAGTCCAGCTGGGTACGTGAGAATAACACGACTGTTGTAGGAGTTTTCTCCTCTGTTCTCCACTGTGACTGTGACATGCAGAAATTCATCAATGCCCACTTTAACCACTGAGGATCTGGTAGCACATGGAGAAAGTTGAGAAAAAGAGAGAGGAAACAAGGCTACAGTCATACTAATGCCACAGTGCATCAAATATAATGTACTTTGAGCTTTGATAAACCATGTTATTTTTCAGTTCAAACAATATGGCAACAATAACTGTGCTCACACAAGCAAGCCTCACCTGGTGAAGCCGAAATCCACTTTAAGGTCATCAACACATCTGTTGTCAGTACCACAGTTGATCTCAAACCCTAACTGTGAAAGAGAGCAATATGGAAACGTAAATAAAGTATATATTATTTGCTTTATGAACTAGTAGATTTTAAACTGAACTGGGAGCCAATTAAGTGACTTCAGTACAAGGTTAATATGTTCAAATTTACATGTACATGTAAGGTCTGTGGCTGATATATTCCGAAAAAGTTGACGTAATAATACGGATTATCTGGAAAATCCTGTAAATAAAATATCATCCCTAGTCTTACCTGCTTAAGCAGAGACTAATTTCTCTGAGTCAGTTTTAGCTGAGAATTATTTAATTTTTGATAAATATCTTTAAGTGATTAAAAAAAGAACTATATGTGTGTCACGGTCCCCGTGCCTCACCGGCTGATTCCGTGTTAGGCAACATGTGTTCTTGTGCTCTCTCTCTCTCTCTCTCTCTCTCTTTCCCCGGTGCTCACTGTGGGCTCCACCCCTGGCCCACACACCTGTGCTCATCATCACACCTGGCGCTGGTTACCACAATCAGAAGGGCTTTTTAAGATGGCAGACCTACACTACTCGTCGCTGGAACATTGAGTCACCTGCGTTAGTGCTTCAGCAATCTGCCTAAGTCTGTGAGTTTCCTTGTGATCTAGTGCTAATTGGATTTTCTGTTTGTGTGCGTAGATTCCCCCCGGACCCGTCCCTGTACCCCCGAGTGAGCGAGAAGAGTGACTGGAGTGGGAAAAGAGTGGGATTGTTGGATGAAAGAGCAGAGTGTGGTTTTGGACCCTTCCCCCCTGGAGCCCCGGACCCCTTCCCCGAGCACCTTGTATATATATAATCACCCGGTGACACCACTGTAAATAAACGCACTATCAGTTTCTGCAAAGGTCTCCTGGTCTGCGCCTGAGTCCGTTTACAAAACCGTGTCACTGTGGCCTTATTAATATTCTTATCAAAACTGAGAACACAAAAATTATGCCCAGATTCCAGATGTGTTTCCAAAAAATAGTATTGATATGAACAGAATTTTTTTTCTGACCTTTTGGACCAAAAACAAAATATTTCTGCCATAGTTTCATATTTAGACAAATTTGATCTTTTCTAAAGAGATCTGTTATTTTATGGAAGGTAATAAAATTGTTCACTTAGTGGGTGTCTCTTGAACAACAGTAGCTCTTCAACTAGATAGAGCTAGAGTGAACCAGAGTTTGGATGACTGGGTGGGTGGCATGCAGACCACCCTAACACTGGGAAGAGCATCACTAGGGCAGGGGGTGAATTGAATGCTACTTGGCCACAGTGATGAGGTTGGTCCCAGAAAAGTTGGTCAAGAAGGGAGATGGACACCTGCCAGATGGAGGCAACTACAGAAGGCCACTTACTGTCTTGCACCAACTGTGACCACATCATTTTTTAGTCTGTTTATTAAAGGATTCTGATTCGGCACCCCACAGATGGAGTATGATTGTAGTTATCACCAGCAGCGTGGAAATCATCCTTATTCAGGATAGAGAATTAGGCTCAGATTTTCTGGCAAGACATGGAGCTAGCCTAGGCATTTGGCTTAGTTCCCAGCTTGTTCAAAAGGTGAAATGCCAGGTGGCAGCTACATCCAGGCATGGGAAGGCTGAAGTTAGTTTCTCATCTGCAACAGTGACTATGGAGCCAAGGAGCCGCTCAACACATCTGATCTGATCCTTGGCGGCCGCTTGTCGGGCCTGGGCCTGGGGCTCGCTCGGGCCCCTTTGGAGGTGGGTGCCCCCGGCCTCTCGGCCTGGGGCTCGGTCACTCAGGCACAGCTGGGGCCGGCGGAGCTCACGGGCGCGTCACTGCAACTCCCCCTGACTTCTGCTCCGCGGCTGCTGGGCGAGCTCTCATCTGGGACTCTCCTCAGCTCTTACTGAAACAGTGGCGCGGCTGCCCCTCTGTTGGTCTTCCATGGTCTCTTGTGTTCTGGGGGCCTCTGGATGTCTGGAGTTTTGATCTCCTCCATACCCGCTTCACACCCTGGAGGACGGGACTGTGGCCCCCCCACACTCCCTAGCAGATCATTACATGGAGAAACCCTTGGAATGCAAGCATGCTGATCCACACAGGTATGCACACATGGGTATTCACAGACGCGGACTACAGCTTTCTTGGCTGCTACCTCAAAGCACACTGTGCGCTGTCTATCTTGCGTGCTGCACAATATCGTTTATTATTTAGTAAATATTGATATCTATGACTAGCTAGTTTATTGTGATGGTGCTTTGTTTTCTCTATTATTATGTTACTCTTTGTTGTTTGCTGTCTCCTCTGTTTGTTTTTTTTGTTTGTTTTTTTTTTTTCTCCATACAGGTGACCCAGGAGTTCTTTTTTTTTTTCTCTCTCTTTCCCCCCCTTCTCACCGTCTCTTCTCCCCTTTGGTTTTCTTTCTTTCTCTCCCCCTCTTTCTCTCATTCATTCCCCCTGTCCTATTTATTAAAAATAAAAAATAAAAAAATAAAAAAAAAATAAAAAAATAAAAAATAAAAAAATGACAAAGGATGAACTGAAGCTCTGCCATCACGTAATGTCGCATACTGCTGTTTCTGATGTCATTTAAAAAAAAAGAAAAAAAAAAAAAAAACACATCTGATCTGGTACCAAGTAGATATTCTTCCTTCCAACTAGGCAATTTTTGTAAGTCAAACGGAGACAGTTGCCACATCCATTAGGAAGAAATGCTGAGATCTTTAACATGACCAATAAGTGGAAGAGCCCCGTCACCTTTCAACTGAAAAAAAAAAAAAAAGGTCTGGAGGACATAATGCAACCACAAAGAGAGTGAAGCACATGCAAGCAAGTGTCCAAGACATACTTTTAACTCCTTATGCAGACTCCAAAAACAGTATCAGACGTTTTGGCAGTTTGCAAGTCAGTATACCACTTTGCTGGTTTTCAACCACTGCAAATGTGCTCCTGTGCAGCCCTCCACAATCCCAACTGCATATCGCTAGACAAAATCACCTATAGGGCTGCTCGATTATGGCAAAAATGATAATCACGATTATTTTCACTGAAATTGAGATCTCGATTATTTGACGATATTTATTTAACAATAACAATGTATTGAATAATGACTTTAAAGATTGTCATAAAATAGTGTGAAAAAAACTGATAACAGTGCAAATGTTTGCAATATAAAAAGTAAATGAAAAATGTAAACATCTATGTTTAGTGAACTTTGCAGTGTTGCTCTGTGGTGCAGCTACGACACCGTAGCAAAGTTTACACACTATGTCTACTTGATCCACGTCTGACTCCGCGAGCCAATAATGCTTCCACACCACTGAAGTTTTTTTTTACCTCTCTTTTCAACCAACGGCAGTCACTCTCCTCTCCAAATAACTTCTGCTTAGCTTTCCGAGCTTCCCTTGGGTCCTCTTAATCAGCAGTTCCCAACCCCCGGGCCTCGGACCAGTACCGGTGTGTGAGTCGTTTGGTACCGGGCCGCGAGAGTTGAAGCTCAGGTGTGAAATGTATAGTTTTCAGGGTTTTTATCGGTTTTCAGCGTTATTTTGTTATCGTTTTTATCGTTTACTCGGTTTTCCTGTGTCTTTTCACGTGTGTTATGAATAAATTTTCTTTTTTTCGGTACCGGTACTAGTTTTATTTTGTTGTATTTATCCGCGACACCTTAAAGGCCGGTCCGTGAAAATATTGTCGGGCACAAACCGGTCCGTGGCGCAAAAATGGTTGGGGACCTCTGCTCTTAATTGTTGTGACACGTGTTCGAAATGCAGAGAGGTGCGCTCGCTTTGCCACACGGAGCAGCGCGAGAGTAAGGCACGAGGGAGGGGCTAATAAACGGCTCAGTCATTTTTAATGATCGTTGAAAGCCCAGATCGTAATCGTGATTAAAATTCGATTAATTGAGCAGCCCTAATCACCTATGCATCAGTCGAATGCTGATTTGTTGACAAGTGGTCCAGAATAGGGAAAGGGGAAACAGTAGAGTTCACCAGGAATAGATCAAATATGCAAAAAAAGAGAAAAAAAAGTCATAAAAGGTCAAAAATAGATTGTGCAAAGTACACACAGTGGCTGCCATGGACACTTGACTTTGTTTTTAACACTTGGTTTCACTTCAGCTCTTTGGATGTCATAACTTCGCTTTTCTCAGTAGTTGACTGATGGACTATCAACAGCACGCAAGATTAGCCTAAAGACTGGATGTATCATGTGTTTCTGACGCTGTCCTCATCTGACAACAAACAATGGCTGCAGGCAGACGGGTAGTCTGTGACATTTTTTATTTTTAAACTTGAAATTTGTCACTACTGTGGAAGCAGCTGAGAACTATATAGGTTCTCTTCTGTGTTAAAAACGTGTTTTAAAAGACTAAAAGAAATTGCACACAGAAAGCTGTTCTTTGCACAACTTGCATGTATTGTAGGGGTACACCACTGGGGTAAATATAACCCATTTACTTCCATTACTTCAGTAGAAGTGTCTCCAATAGGTATAAGTCAATTGCATGCCAATAATACAAGGCATTTGAAAATGGAAGTGCAAAACTAAAACTGTTTCTTAACTTTGACTAGGCTCAGTTATCCAGTCAAATATTCTTTGGGTTTGTTTTTTAGTTGGTTGGTATTTTTTTTCTTGGGTTACTTACAGGAAAAATAGTTGCTGTTTGACTCTGTGGGGCAAGACTTGGCCTGAGGTTTATGTTTAATGGCAACCCATCAAATATGAATTTGAGCTCATTGGAAAGTACATTAAGAGCATCCTCTGGACAGGCCTGCAAGAAGAGAACAACGTTAAGTTTGTTGACTTGAATCTCTCTTGGTTTTAGTACTTTTTCAGATGTTTTATTTTTTACCTCGATAATGAATTTTACAGTTGAACATTGTCGGTTTTGTAAGTCAAGAGTAACAGATCCAGACTGCTCTTGTTGTTTCCCACTGACGTAAGCCCGGTTGGTTGGAGATTTGCGAGAAGCATCCAGTGTTAAAGTGTAATCAATCCTTGCTTGAGCTGGAACAAATACATTTCCATGTTACGAATGTTTAGACATTAACATTAAAATAATGGACACTGGCTTTTTTGTTTTACAAAAAGTGAGGAGAATGATGAACCTGTGTTGACTGTAGACACTCTGCTCATGGTAAAGCAGACTGTAGCTGTGTTCTCCAATGGTTTTGAGCAGTCTACATTCTGAGTAGGAATTTGGTTTGGGCTGAATAACACCTCAGCTTTTACCATTACTATAGGTCTTGATCTGGAAAGTAGGGGGGAAACATGTAAATTACATTTGGGGTTTTAACTTAAAGCTACAGAATTTTGAGTCACCCAAAAATGTCCTTTTTCAAGCTGAAATTATTTATACAACAAATCTTAAATGAACATTTAAGGAAATGCTTTTTGATTGAATTTTCATAACTCTAGAACAATAGTGTTTCAGTTAAGTAACTTTATCATACCAATTGGCTTACTAAATGATAATTATTTCATATTGTTAACATGACTTTACTACACACTATTTTATTAAATCCTCTGTTTTGGGGTAATGCATGCATTTCAATTTCTGAATGGAAATCATTTGTTACAACAAGACTGAACACAGACTATAATTCTAGATGCTTAAGCAACCACATTTATTGCTTCTTTAACCAGTAGAGCATTTTCAATCAAGTGTTAAGATAACTAGAAAAAGGAAATCCATTCATTAGTTACGTTTTGAAAATGATAAACTTTCATTAATATAATTTGACCTTTGAAAAATAAATATGCTTTACCCTGTTCTATATTTCAAACTGATGTAAACTTTTATACATTAGTGAATTCATTAAGGTTCACCATCAACAAAAATGATAGAATTATCATAAACGACAGTAATGTATGATTACACTATCTTTGACTTACCTCAGTAAGACAACTCTACCCTTTGAACCCACCGCTAAGTCAGGCAGTCTATCACCACTATGATCAAAAGATGACTGACTGATTGTGAGGCCAAAGAACTTCAGTCCTGACTGGACCTCAGAGCCAGTTATTCTCTGTGTACATATATATACATAATATTTTAATCAGATTATATATTCCAACTGTAGATTGTATAGATATTGGAATTACGTGGTAGATGATTTTAGTCATCATTGTGAGTTCTTTGATGTCATGTACCTGTGAGTAAGTAGGACTGATTCTTCCTCCTCCTTCGCCATTAAATATGTAGATGCTGCCTTCACCATTATTCTCCAAAGGTGCTCCAACTGCCAAATCCCTGAATCCATCTGAGTTTAGATCAGGCAGCACAGCAAGAGAAGAGCCGAACCTTCCTTTGACAGCTGCACGTCCTCTTAGTACTAATGGATCATCAAAATTACACTCCACAAACTAAAAGGAAGAGAGTGAATATTTTATGAACATTAAGAAAGTTGGCAAATAAACTGATTAATTTAACTGTAGGACATAAAATATTATAAATATTCTAAATATATTTACCGGACCAGTTAATCTGCAAACATAAACTCTTCCCTCTCTATCAGGCTCCATGTACATTGGGGCAGATATGAAGATTAGATCAGTGATGTCATCATTATTTATGTCCATGGTACACACCTCTGCCCCGAAATATGCACCAGTCTGATAATGTTAAAGCAATAAAATTATTAATTAGAAAAACTGTGTAACTGAAACAGCTTTTATTTTCGAGAAAATAATTTTACAATATGATTCAGGTTTGTCTTCCTGCAAAAACATACCTGTGTCGAAAAGGACTCAATCTTTTGGTTTTTCAAGTTTTCTCTGTTAACAGCAAACACAGCTCCTCTGTGTTTATATCTTGGAGCACCAACAACTGTCAGAGAGCCACGTTGGGTTTTAGCAACTGCCATAGAGTAACCTAGAATTTAGGTATTCAAAGGGGGAAGAAAGATTAAGATGCCTCCATTTAAATTTGTCATGGTCCTGGGTCAGTGACCCAGTGTTTTGCATTATTATTGAACTTTGATTGTGTCAGTATTTATCATTTCTAGTCTTTTGGTTTCGGTGTTAGCGCTCTTAGTATTCTGGTTTTTGTCTCTGTGTTCCATGGTTGCTTTGTCTCCCCTGTCAGCTCTATCCCTTTGTTAAGCCTGCGTTTATGTGTTATGTTTCCTGCTTTACTTTGTAAATCTGTGTCTCATGGTAGTGTGTCTAGTTTGGCTTCCCCTTGTCTTGTTGTGTTTGATTACTCCCAGGTGTGTGTCCTCCTGTGTCCTATTCCCTTGTTATCCCTCCATGTATTGTAGCCCTGTGTTTCTCTCAGTCAGCGTTGCATCGTCCCCTCATGCTTGTGGGTTTCTCCTGTTGTGCTCCCAGAGATTGCAATCCTGAGTTTCCCAGTGTTTTGTTTTTAGTTGCCAGTTTCTGGGTTTTGGTTTGGTTTTATAAGTGTTTTTTGTATAAGTTTTGCCACTGCAATAAAGCAGCCTCCTTCAGTTCATCCCTGTGTTTTGAGTTCTGCATTTGGGTCCTTTCTCCTGCCTGACACAGCAGTTTCATGACAAAATTGTGTCCGTTTTGCAAACTCATTAGTGTTTCTGGGTGAAAGAACTGGAGCAGAGCTGTGTATATACATGATCACATGTGTATGAGTTAGATTGTTAAAGCTGTAATATTCTTACCAAGATAACTGTCAGGCTCCAAAGACACATCTTCATATGTTTTCACCTTCTGGCCTCCTGTTGTGTATTGCACGTAGCCTCCCTTCCACTGGTTTGCACCAACAATAGACATCTGAATTCCCTACAGTGTAGAAAGAAAATACATTTTATAACCAATTTATTTTACCTTTAAAATCTGGAATGTGTTTAACCTGTATTTGCCATTAGAACTTAAAAACTCCCACAAGGCACATGTGAATCTTTCTTTCTATGACTCGGCTGTCTGGTGAGTTTCAGGTAGTTTTAATTACCTCAGGCACAATAACTGCACTGAATCCCTCTTGAGACATTTCCATTTCCAGTGATTCTCCACTGCTTTGAGATCCTGTGTCAGAAAAATAAATGAGAAGGTAAAAGAGAGACAAAATACAACATATACATTCATACAGGTTCATTCTCTCACTATGCTTCATTATGCTAAGTACAATTTTCAAATAATTTGTTTATTATAAAAGTATCTGAAAATGGATTCTTCCTTTCAAAACGTTATAGTAATAGCATGCTTAGCATCAAATTTAGCATTATTATTACATTCATTAATATAACAAATAATTTCAAATGATTTTTACTGTTTATTATAACCGCATTTGTTGTTCATTTCTCTAATGTAAAGTTACAGGATGTTCAATTTAAAATGTGACTCTAATGAATACAATATAATAAAGTTGATACAATGTGGTGATTTTAGTTGCTTCATAGTGAAGCAGCTTACACAACAAATAAAAGTTCACTGCTTCAATTCCAGTAAAACACACAGATTATCATCATGTTAGGAATGACATCTGATGTGAAAAAACTCTTATGAATAGGTAGGCAGTAAAATAATATTTAACATAATGTAATTATTTGAATTTTTGAAACATTTACAGGAATTTTAAGTTGAAACAATAAATTCATGTTCATACCTTCGATGGAGAAAATTTTGTCCTGCAGATTCTGTCTTATTACTTCAAGTGCGTCGAAGTTCTCCACTTCAAACACATATGAGGGAGTGGATGCAATGGTGCGCAGTTCTTTTCTTGCATCAGGGAGCCTAAAAGCGCTGCCCACCTATGATTTTACAGATATGTTTGAGTCCTCATATTAAGCAAGATTATTTGCTCACTTTAGTAAAATACAGTCCTTATACTTCACCTGATTTACAGTAAAATTTACACACATCACTAAGCCATTACTTAGCCTTAACAAATATTTGAGAAAGAATTTGTCATTTTAAAGACCTTAGCTAATATGAGTGTGATACTGTAATATGATCTCACTGCTGCAACAAGTCAGTTTGTGAAATTTAATCCCTCCTGTATATTCCACGATTGACTATAAATGGTATTATTTCAAAGTGGAAGCCTTTAGAGCAGGGGTCCCCAATCCCAGTCCACGAGGGCCGGTGTCCCTGCAGGTTTTAGATGTGTCCTTGATCCATCACAGCTGATTTAAATGGATAAATTACCTTCTCAACATGTCTTCAGTTCTCCAGAGGCCTAGTAATGAACTAATCATGTGATTCAGGTGTGTTGACCCAGGGTGAGCTCTAAAACCTGCAGGGACACCGGCCCTCGTGGACTGGGATTGGGGACCCCTGCTTTAGAGCCATGCCAACTCAGTGTAAAAGTTGAAAACACTTTTAACCTCCTGTGGCATTAATGCAGCACAAAGATTGTGAGCTTCATAGACTGGGTCTCTATGGCCAAGCAGCTTCTGAAGGTGTAGTGAATGAGTTGCTCAGGACCTGTCTCCCTATAGTGCATTATAATGGGGAGTGTAGTGTGACAAGTGAACAAAACCAAGTACTAGTATAAAATGCAACATTATGCAAGTTTAAGGAATGGAAGTACTTACCCCAATAGCAAATCGAACAATGTTTTTACTCTCTGCTCGCTTTGTTGCATCTCGTAGATTCTGCCGATCATTAGATTCTCCATCAGTAATTACTATCAAGACCTTCTTCACATTTGGTCTGGAACCACTTTGTGGTGTGAAAACGTTGTTCCTGTCAAATAAAAAAAAAAATCGAATTTCTAAAGATTGTTTTGTTTTACAGTTGATCTTGTAAATGATATACTATCAGGTAAATTGCATGGTTGTTATTTAAGCATACATCATTCTGTTTTGCTTTTTTTTTTTTACTTTTGTACAAATCAATGTAATACAAGTTTGTTTGTTTGTTTGTTTTTTTCAAATTTAAATCTGCAAACATTTGAATTTAGCCTTTTTGGGTGCCATGACTCTGGTGAAGATGCTTTAAAACCCAAGTCTGAGTACAGTGTCCCATTTAAAAGGCTTCCTGCAGTCACAGTCAAATTAGTGTTATCAGATTAAAAGAAAAAAAGTCATCTGGACAGGAAGTCGAGACAATAATGTAACTGCAATGCTTCAGTTATATCATTGTATTACTTACACAACATGTGTGATGGCCTTAGCCGTGTAAGTAGATCCCCTCAGCTGTCTGATTCTATCGATGTCAGTCTCCACTGATTCAGATGAGTAAAACTTCTTAAAATTAAAGTGAACCTCTGGATAAGTGGAGAACTGGGAAACAGAAAACTGAAAAGGCAGAAATTAAAACATGTAAAACATTATTTTTATGGGACTTAATAGAAATAACAATGGAACTATTTTATATATGTGCCATGATTTTACTGACAGAGTGACAACAGCTGCTTACCTGTGTTTCACTTGAGAGAAATGATTGAATTATCTCTTTCACAAATCTCTTCATTGTTTGAAAATCAGGCTGAGACACGCTGCCTGAACCATCCAACAGAAAGGCAATGTCTGTTTGCAGTGGGCACCCTATCAAAGAGATTAATTTCAGGCACACATTAAAAGGAGAAGTTGCTTGAAGTGGTTGAATGCAGTACAAGACTTGGGACTTTGTGGGTGGGGGTTACCATAAATACCTCATTTAGACAAGCTTCTCTTTAATGTAAATTCTTAATAAAGTTGATGTAAAAGATTCAACTTTAACTCTAAATAGACTCTCTAAAGTATGCATTCAAAAAGGAAAATAATTACAAACCTAATTTGTGATGTTTCTAGTGAACGGATACTAAAAGAATTTAGATGGTGTGCATACGATACAGATTTTAAACCAAATGAAAGTGATAAAAGATTTCAGTCTTGGATAGAGAGTGGGCAAACAACATTTCTCCACACATAAAGGGACACTACAGAGTTTTCAGTCTTTACAAATAAGAAATGTCCTAAGACAAGTAGATTTCTTCAGGTTTCTTCAAATGCGGGATTATTTTAATAATAATAATGGATTGGATTTATATAGCGCTTTTCAAGGCACCCAAAGCGCTTTACAATACCACTATTCATTCATTCTCACATTCATACACTGGTGGAGGCAGCTACAGTTGTAGCCACAGCTGCCTGGGGCAGACTGACAGAAGCGAGGCTGCCATATCATACCATCAGCCCCTCTGGCCAACACCAGTAGGCAAGTAGGGTAAAGTGTCTTGCCCAAGGACACAACGACCAGGACAGAGAGCCCAGGGATCGAACCGGCGACCTTCAGGTTACAGATGCGATTCCCAACCCCCTGAGCCACGGTCACCCCGTAAACCAATAAACCAATATTGCAATATCCCAAACCCAAACTCGGTTGAGTCAGGAATTTTTAAGATAGTTAAATTAACATATGTTGTTTCTCTGAGAAAGGCAATCTCCAAACTATATAATGTGCTTCTTCGGGCAAGGAAGGATACTACTCAAAATATTAAGACCAAATGGGAATTGGAATCAGGGATGGGTATATCAGACAAGAACTGGGAGAGGATTTGTAATTTTCATTGGTACTCAACAAGTTCACTATCTTGGAGAGACCAACGAAAATGAAAGCAAGAAGCTGGAGAAGATATGGATCAGAAAAGGCACATCAAGGCAATTCATTAAACTCTGTGCGAGGTCTTTAAGATAAAACTTGTAATTTGTAAATTTGTACATGGGTCTGGGGATGGGACACAAAGCTCTTACAAGCACTATGAGTGGCCAGCAAAAAATCAGTAACGAAAAATTGGCTAAATCCAACTCCTCCAACACTTGAGGATTGGTTTAATGTGGTTTTTGAAATATTTAACATGGAAAAATTGACATTCTCCTTAAAAATTCAAAAAGATAAATTCTACAAAATATGGAATAAATGGATTAGCTTTGTGTCCCCCATCCGCCCTGAATTTAGGTAACATCAGCCCTGAATTGGTGTATCTCCCATGTATTGTATAATGCCAGGTCAACCCTCTACTTCATAATATGTATTAAATGTACTTTAAGTAAATAAGTTAAATATGTTGCATTATGTATACACTGTCAAGCCACCGAGTTCACTTTTTGTTATGTGAATGTAAAACAAAAGGACTAAGAAAAAGTCTTTTTTTTTCCTTTTGACTAAATAATATTAATTCACTTTACTGTAACAATCCCTTTTCAAAAAAAATAATTTTAAAAAAAGAGAAGGAAATGATTTCTAAGCAATATCTAAACTTGATATGGGTTTTTCTCTTGCAAATTTTTTAGGGGTGTGGCTTCATATTTGGCCTTGACTGTCATCTCTTTTTTACACCAAATCATACAAGTCATACATGTAGCCTGGTGTCACTTCTACCTTTGCAGCAATCTCATCTTCCAAAAAAATTTTTTTTTATTTGCTCCACTGCTTTTTCTGATCAGCCTTAATTTATGCTGACATGTATAAGAGAGTATGTGTTAAAGAGTGTCTCTTTGCCAAACTCCTTTTACTGTTACCTTGAATAGAAGAAGGTACGGGTGGTCCAAGCCTATTGTAACGGTCCAACTGAAAGCACACCCCGTTGTACATGGTGATGCTTTTGCAGTCCTTTGCAATGGTTGGACCACACACCTGAGAGGAGACAAAGCCAAGATGTGATTAAACAATGGTTTATTGTTTGAGATCAATCAATTTGACAAAAAACAAATTCTTATATGGCTGCTCAGAAATGGTGATTTAAAAAAAACAAAAAAAACAACTTTAGTCTTTTTAAAGAAGTCGTGCAATTTTTTTACCTTGATATGATTAATAATTTCTATGTTAAGGGACAAATTTGAGCATTTTAAAACATGATTTTAATTTTTTCATTTTTACAGCACTTTAGAGCCTTCACAACTTATTAAGTACATTATGAATTGACCTTCATGCATTTTGAGATTATAACAAAACATCTGACACACAGAGGACAGAAGATTTTGATCCTTAGAGAATGTAACAAAGCACTGGTAATGTCTGCAGTTCAGTAACTCACCACAGTGTTTTGTGCTCTTTGATCGCTTTTCATTGTCAAACCAAGCGACATGTTGACTGCGAAACCTGGTGCTGTAGTGAAAACATTACATTTTTATTGTTTTTTTTAAACAAAACATAAAATACACTTTAAAAGTAAGAGCACAAGGGTGAAGGTAACAAATTGAAAGAAAAACAGAATAAAATTTCACTATTATGTAATTTTAAAATGTTGAAAACAATAGAAAAGAAAAACCTTAATGATTTTTTTTCTTTGCTTATTTAATTTTATTAACTGGTAAATCAATATTGTTTTTGAAGAGTGAAAGGTACCTACTAAGATACCTGGATATATGTACTCTATGAACCGGTTTAACGAGTTCCTGTGCCTGGATTTGTGCAAAATTTCTTTGACAGCAAAATATTTACTGTTACCAGTTACCTACCTTCAAATTGGATATCTTGGCAGGTTTGGGAAGATGTGGTGCACCTATATATTCTCCCTCTTTCATTTTGTGAATACTGTTCAAGTGGAGCACTGACCAGCAGACTGAGGAAATAAATTCAGTCAATGATGTAAGTTAAACTACAAAACTACAAGTGTTTTATATATTTATTTTTTGCTCTGGTGCATAACAGAGATGGTAGTTCAAAATCAATACATAAATAGCAATAATCTTAAACACACAGATGGAAACCAATGTTCACTTACTCTGATTGTCTTTGAACCACCTGGTAACCAAAACCAGCAGCAGAGCTCCTCAGGGCTCTCCAAGCCACGGGCTCAATATTGAAACAAAGTGTTGCACTAAACACTGAAAATTTAAGAAGAAAGAAGAATATCAGAAGTTTTATTTAAAGCCTTCATAAGAATGAAAATGTGGTTATAGCGCCTGTAATTACAAATCACATTAAGAAAAGTAGGCTGTGGTTTTGTTTTTTAACCTTTCATTAGCACTAGCGACTAAAAAGCTCAGAATATTGTGCTCAAAGCAGTTACTTGCTTGGAAGTTATTAGATTTCATTGTGAAAGTTTAAACGTTTTTTGATTTGATTACCATACAGTGAAAATTTCATACCACAACATCCATACGTAACAAAGTCAAAGGGCTATGCTGTAGTCATGCAAGACCCAACAAGAATCTCAGCAGCACTGAGCGTGTGCAGCTGAGCTAAATTGCTAATTGCAAACGTTCCACTAATTTTCTCTGCCAGTTTACACCTAGAAAGCTTTAAAAGTCATAAAAAATGAGAATTATAACTATATTTTAATCAACTTCAGCACTCTGGAAGACTGCAAATTACATCATTTATGAGTGTTTCAGTCCATTGTTATCAGGAACCCAAACGCACTGACTTGCTCAAGCAGCAAACCAGCACCATCCATGAAGAGAATTCACTCTGAAGATTCCCTGTAGCCGGTCTCTCCACAGACCGGTGACATGGGGGGCATTTTGAAGTCAATAAGCACAAAACTCTGCAGCTGTGATTCACGGCTAGCCCTTTTGGTAATCCTTCAAAAAGACTTTCAAGTGCTGAATGAGTCAGTGGAATTCAGACAGCAGCTGCTGGCTGCAAACACTTGCTGCTGTAAACACCATCCTCAGAGAGTTGGTGAAATCCATCGAGAAGGAATGACCCGAGAAAACTGAAAGATCAAAGACACTATTATTGAGCTGCAGGCTCACAGCATGATGGATAGCTTGGTGTTTTCAGGAATACCAGAGATGGCAGAAGAGGATCCAGAAACAACAGTGAGTCATGATATCCAGACTTATCTGAAACTCTGGGTGGATGTAGTTAAAAACATCAGCATACACCGTGCTCATTGTTTTGAAGGTAAATGAGCAGATGGATGCAGATCCCGATCTTTTGTGGACAAATTCAAACACTGGTAAAAAGCCGCAGCTAGGAGCTGAGAGGAACAGACTTGAATGTTTGCAGTTTCCAAAGGAAATGCTGGAGTGATGCAAGTTCCTGTTCTCTGTCTAAAAAAGGCTCATTCAAGGAGGCTCCCAGGCTGTCATCGTGGTCAATAAGCTGTATGTCAAAGGGCAGCTTTATCATGACTAAAACACCACACAATGGCTGTACTGATCCTAGTTAGTACTAGGATAGGTTATACATGACCACACTGAGATTTGTCGCATGGCATCTATGGGAAGTTGGTTTGAAGTAAAAGAGGCTTAAGCTTTCTAACCCGTTAAATGGCAAACATTGTCTTTCTACATTGTGGACTCATTGGTCCGAAACATCTGTGCACACACTTATCCACATTTTCCTCACACATTTTCATTTTGTTACAACTCAAAAACCAGAGGTGTAGCCATACTAATAAGCAGAAGAATAAACTTACTGTTAGCAACTGTTATTACAGATCCAGAAGGTAGATTTGTAAAACTTAGATCCACTTAGATCCAGGCTCAGTATTTATGTATTGCCAGTATCTAGGAATCAAATGTTTCTAGTAATTAAAGGCTCAGTACAGCAGTGAGTCAAAGGAATGAGCAGTCCACAGACATTCTTAAACAATAGATGAGTGATTTTGGTCTTTGCAATGCTTGGCATTAACATTACCCCACTCTCAGGGATTACACCTTCTTATAACCAGTACTCCAGTACTCACACTCTTGCTTGGACTAGTTTTTAGTTAGCAGCTTCATTATATCACTATCAGAGATTATGCACCAGTGCCAGTCTCTCTGGCACAGCCACAGATCCAGATGGGTTTCCAGCTGAGGGTTACAAAGAACTTTGGCCTATGATAGCACCTACTTTTTTTTGGTATATGGTAACTCAGATTCAGAGTAATCTCCAAACATACCGCCCAATTACAGTCATAAATGTTAACCTTAAAATACTCTGCAAAGTCCTTGTCAGAAGATTAGAATAAAATCACTTGATCCATAATACATCCTGATCAAACAGGGTAAACACTCCAACACTAAAAAAAACACACAGACTAATAAATATAATATAAATATAATAGATTATTGCTCCATCAATAAATTAGAAACCGCAGTTGTCTTTTTAGCTACAGAGAAAGTCTTTGACCGGGTAAACTCTAAAAATTTTTTAGCCGCTCTATACAAATTTAGATTTTTGGCACATTCTTCATAGATTGGATCTATACAGCTCTCCGAATGCATGTGTTAGGACTAAGTCCTTCCCAAAACAGATCACGAGCTCGCATCTGGTTCACTGCTTGTGTTGTTAATGGGTGGATATGTGTGAGCAAGTAAGTGAATGGCTTGGGTGTGTGTTCAAGTGTGTGTGCCTACACGGCTGGATCTGTATCTGGGGCTCGCTGAGCTTTGCCACTGAGGGACATGGTCATGGAAAATGGATATACAGTGGGGCAAAAAAGTATTTAGTCAGCCACCGATTGTGCAAGTTCCCCCACTTAAAATGATGACAGAGGTCAGTAATTTGCACCAGAGGTACACTTTAACTGTGAGAGACAGAATGTGAAAAGAAAATCCATGAATTCACATGGTAGGATTTGTAAAGAATTTATTCGTAAATCAGGGTGGAAAATAAGTATTTGGTCACCTCAAACAAGGAAAATCTCTGGCTCTCACAGACCTGTAACGTCTTCTGTAAGAAGCTTTTCTGTCCCCCACTTGTTACCTGTATGAATGGCACCTGTTTGAACCCATCATCTGTATAAAAGACACCTGTCCACAGCCTCAAACAGTCAGACTCCAAACTCCGCCATGGCCAAGACCAAAGAGCTTTCGAAGGACACCAGGAAAAGTATTGTAGACCTGCACCAGACTGGGAAGAGTGAATCTACAATAGGCAAGCAGCTTGGTGTGAAAAAATCAACTGTGGGAGCAATCATCAGAAAATGGAAGACATACAACACCACTGATAATCTCCCTCGATCTGGGGCTCCACGCAAGATCTCATCCCGTGGGGTCAAAATGATCATGAGAACGGTGAGCAAAGATCCCAGAACCACACGGGGGGACCTGGTGAATGACCTGCAGAGAGCTGGGACCAAAGTAACAAAGGTCACCATCAGTAACACACTACAACGGCAGGAAATCAAATCCCGCAGTGCCAGACGTGTTCCGCTGCTGAAGCCAGTGCATGTCCAGGCCCGTCTGAAGTTTGCCAGAGAGCACATGGATGATACAGCAGAGGATTGGGAGAATGTCATGTGGTCAGATGAAACCAAAGTAGAACTTTTTGGTATAAACTCAACTCGTCGTGTTTGGAGGAAGAAGAATACTGAGTTGCATCCCAAGAACACCATACCTACTGTGAAGCATGGGGCTGGAAACATCATGCTATGGGGCTGTTTTTCTGTCAAGGGGACAGGACGACTGATCCGTGTTAAGGACAGAATGAATGGGGCCATGTATCGTGAGATTTTGAGCCAAAACCTCCTTCCATCAGTGAGAACTTTGAAGATGAAACGAGGCTGGGTCTTCCAACATGACAATGATCCAAAACACACCGCGAGGGCAACAAAGGAGTGGCTCCGTAAGAAGCATTTGAAAGTCCTGGAGTGGCCTAGCCAGTCTCCAGACTTCAACCCCATAGAAAATCTGTGGCGGGAGTTGAAAGCCCGTGTTGCTCGGCGACAGCCCCAAAACATCACTGCTCTCGAGAAGATCTGCATGGAGGAATGGGCCAAAATACCAGCTACTGTGTGTGCAAACCTGGTAAAGACCTATATTAAACGTTTGACCTCTGTTATTGCCAACAAAGGTTATGTTACAAAGTATTGAGTTGTATTTTTGTTATTGACCAAATACTTATTTTCCACCCTGATTTACCAATAAATTTTTACAAATCCTACCATGTGGATTCATGGATTTTCTTTTCACATTCTGTCTCTCACAGTTAAAGTGTACCTCTGGTGCAAATTACTGACCTCTGTCATCATTTTAAGTGGGGGAACTTGCACAATCGGTGGCTGACTAAATACTTTTTTGCCCCACTGTATACACAAGAAGTAATAAGTATATTGGATTTTATGTCCAGTTCTACAGTTGGTTTTGGGTTGTAAGTAAGAATTTACTTTTGTTTTGTTTGACTATTCAGGAAATAAACTCATAAACATTTTAGTAATTAAACTATTGATGCAGTCAGAAGTTAACTGAGTTGATTGCAGAGATAAAGGAGAAAAATGCAAATAAGGAAATTGCCATTACAAAGGTATTTATAAATGATTTGCTTTCCCTTGCTAATCTGTAGTGTCTACTTGTTTTTAATTCCACAAGAAAGATATTTTTTAAAGACACTTTGTCACTGTGCTGTGTGTATTTAGTAGAAAAACGTACTTACATATTTTTACTGTTTTCAGACATTTATTATTAATGAATAAAAAACAAACACAAAATGCGCAAGCTTGTCTTACCTGACAAGAATAGCGTAGCACTAACTATCCAGTCCATTCTGTCACTCACATGGAAAATGTAAACAACACAGGAGTTCAATGTTACTTCTCTTGAAAGTTTCAGAGGAGGAGATGAAATCAAAATGCAGAAATCATAAGAGAGTTCCTCAAGGGTAAGAGTTTTATTTAGAGGAACGGTTGGTTATGTGGGAGGAGCTACAATAGTGACAGCACTGTCTGTTTGATGCCAAACTACACTGTGATGTTGTTGTTTAATGTGAATCAAACACTTATTTTTTAAGTAAACAATACTGACACTTACAGTAAACACATTGGATAGTTTATTAGTTTCTGAGCCACAAGATAAAATCCCTGTGATTATGAATATGAAGATAAGAAATAGCAAAACAAAAACCCTCAATCTAAGGTTCTATCAGTTTGTTATTTGCTGGTGTGAAAATATTTTTTTTGGTAAAAAGTTGGTCTTAATCAAATTTAAAAGCAAAAAGAAATCTAAAAATAAAAATTCAGTTTCTGCTTTTCATGCGACTTCCTCTAAACATCTATGAGTGAGAAAATTTGGTATCGTGGCAGTTTTGCAAGCGACATAGAGGCCTGGATTTATTATGTTCCTACTTCATGTGTGTGGTTGACTCTTCATACCCTAATAATCCTAATCTTGAACAGTGTGGATCTTTTGTGAGCACATTATCCTGATATGCACATAAAGTGAATACATTTTCAGTACTTAGCATCACTTTGAACATCTAAAAATAGTTCATTTTAGAGCCTTGCCTCACTGGTAGATGACTAACCAGCTGATTCTTGCTGTATGAGGAAGTCTACAAGAAGTCACTCTCCCCTAATGCGAACTCCCCACCAGTGTTAAAGTATATTTTTGACACCACAAACTTACACGTGATGCTCTGAGCATATCCAAGGTGCAACATTTCACATGTTTTTAAATGTGTGTTTTGTTTCATAAGCTATTTGAATGAGAGAAACTGAAAGCGATGTAATGTGTAGTAAAACCTGACGATACGAATGTGTAACCTGATAAACACAGACTGATTAACCCTCTTAGGCTAAAATTAAACTTTTTGTTGCTAATGCACAACCAAGTCCTGCAGTGGTACTTCTAAGTAAAAAAAGTCATAAAATATGTATGTGGGGTAATCAGGTTGTTAGTTTTTAACTGTTGCAAATCGGCAATGCCTGCCTTGAGAGGGTTAATGGAAGATGGTCTGTAGTGACTTCAGTGGAGAGTGTGTACTTCAAAGAGATGCTTAATCCTACTGACACACCTTACATAGAGGAAGTAAGCCTGGTGTTTAACTGGATAATGTCGATGAGGGAAATAACTTCCTTGTGTGGTGGTGGAGTGAATGAGGTATGATTTTCCTCCTGGTAATGGAACACTGCACCAGCTCAAGTTTTGCAATATCTAACTGAAGGAAATCTCTGTCCGTAGATAGAGCTTTTCCTCCTAAGGCATGGGCACCAATAAGCAGAGTTCATCCTTTAACATATAACAAAATTAAAATTTTCTCATGCATGATCAACGGGCAATCACGGTACCGGCCGGAGTACCGGGAGTAGTTTGGAAGAACAAGAAGACACGGAGACTGTTCTAGGTTGTCATCCCAAACCAACTCAAAGGTTTATTAAGTATACAACAGCTTATATAGAGGAAAAAGGTTCGTATGTCAGCAGATTCTCAGTTCAAACCGGTACAGACCAAATAAGGAAACGTCTTCCTGCCTTGTGAGCAGAGAAGTATCCTTTGTGTAGTTTATCAGTTCAGCTACAATTTATGATCATCCCAGCAAAATACACTCCTAGACATAGAATACAGAGTTCTTTCATTAGTGAATTCTGAAACAAACCACCTGGCCTTTAACAAGCTCTTTTCTAAAAGATAAGGAAGGGAGGATGGGAGTAAGGAAGTGGTCTCGTCTCTGTGGTATTTTTGACCTTTGGGTACCAGCCTGTGATTCTTACACATCAATTCTTGGGTCAGAGAGAAAGAGAAAAACAACTAGTAAATGGGCCTTATTGAGTAACAGTTTTCCTGTATCATATCACTATAAAACAATATCCTGTAAATGCTACCATGATATCAAAATATCACAACACTAACTAAATCATCAATGATTATAGCACACTAAGAGATAAGAAGCAAAAAAATGAAAACATGATTTATGCATGATACAGACCACTACACTTGGGGTAAAAGCGTCAGAAAGTTGTGGTTGTGGTTATTTAATATCTAGCTAAAGCAAAAGAAGTCGAGTGAGAATGAAGGACAATCGTTAACTAACTTTTAAATAAACTTTTTTTTAAGCAATTGTAATGGGAAGAAGCCTTGGTTTTTCCCTCTATGCAGGCATCTATGCAGACATCATGTGTGATCACACAACTGAGGCTGAACTATATTTTCATAGTATATATAAATTTTTTTATTTGTTTTATTTATTTAATTGAGACACAGCTTGCAGCTTTAATTGAAATGGCTGTTAATTTTTCCTTCTTATCAGATATTTATAATAGACTTGTAGTCAAGACCACCTAAACCAAGACCAAGACAATACCAAGACCAGAGGGTATCGAGACCAAGACAAGACCAAGACAGACCGAGTCAAGACGAAGACAAAGATGAGACCAAGACCGAGACAAAAAAGTCTTTAAACTGCAGCCAGATGCTGCTTTGTTTACAGGTGTTGACTCCAGATCTCCCGACCACTATGTCGATCTGAGACAGCAAGACCGAGACAGCGAGACCAAGACAAGACCACGTAAAAGTGGTCTCAAGACATCCAACTCTAGTTTATAATTAGTGAATAAAACCTGTTGTACACGAAAAGAACAGTGTAGCACTAAATATGCAGTCCACAATGTGCACATCCTGGATAAGCTCTTGGACCAAGATTGCACATGTGCTTGGCTCTATATTGTCTTTTAAGCCTCACTTTGGGATGAACCATCTTTAGCGAACACGACCACCGTATCTTTGTTAAGGAAAATGTTCTAAAACACTTCTTCAGTAAAGACTCAGAGAAGAGAAACACACAGAACTTCTTGCTAGCAAGGGCAGCCTCCAGACAGAGAGACTCGCGCTGAGAAACTGCCCCGGTCCTTATTTTATACTTCAGTGAGCGTATGTGTGTGTGTGTGTGTGTGTGTGTGTGTGTGTGTGTGTGTGTGTGTGTGTGTGTGTGTGTGTGTGTGTGTGTGGGGTCAGAGTGTGACCCCATAAAGACTTCCCTAAACCTGCTGGTCTCGAAGTCCAGCAGTTCATCAAACCAAAAGGCACTTAGTCTAAAACAAATATAGCTACGTTAATCCTACCGTAAAACAATAAGACAAGGTACGACCTCTCTCATGCTCCTAGGATGTGGGGGTGAACACCCTAGAATGTTACAGACCTCCTAGGATGAGACAATCTTTCAATATGCCACCAACTATATACTTCTACACACAAATAATTACATGCAGCATTCTACCATATGCAAACTTATATCATTAAAAGATTATACTGACTACAAGGTACAATTTTCCATTGACATTCCCTCCTGTTGTCAGTAAAAACTTTAAATGAGATATAGAATAGAATAGAATTAGAATAGAATTCAACTTTATTGTCATTGCACATGCACAGGTACAGGGCAACGAAATGCAGTTTGCATCCATCCAGAAGTGCTTTAGTGATATAGATATATTACAATATATATTAGCAATAATATAGATATGTGAGTATATTACAGAAATGGGTCTATTATGGTATGTTATAATGTACACGGTATGAAGTATGTTGTGAATATTCTATAACTATAAGTATGTACAGGCTGTAGTGAGTACAAGCTATGTACAGGATATGAACAGGATATAAATATGAAAAACTATACAGAATATGAAATGAAATAAATAACTTTACAGAATCTGGGATATACAGCTATACAGAAATGGGAACTATGCAAGTTGTAAACAGTTGTAGGATTAAAGATTATCGAATGTACAGAATGATTATTTACACAGAGCTATACAGTAGTGCAGTTAAGATAAGTGAGGGTGTAGATAGTTTCTACAGAGGCTATATAAAGTGCTAGTGGTTGTGAGTGGTGGTTCAGTCCATGTTATTATTGTGTTTGAGGGTACAGTTGTCCATTGTGGGTGTGTGTATGTTCAGTCCATGAGTTAACGTGAGTCAGATGTCAGGAGGCAGAGTTCAGGAGTCTGACAGCTGTGGGGAAGAAGCTGTTCCGGTACCTGGTGGTCTTAGTCCGGAGGCTCCTGTGGCGCCTCCCAGAGGGCAGGAGGGTGAAGAGTCCATGTGATGGGTGACTGGGGTCTTTGATGATTTTCCCAGCCCTTTTCAGACACCGCTTCCTGTAGATGTCTTTTATGGCAGGAAGTGGTGCTCCAGCGATGCGCTGGGCAGTTTTCACGACCCTCTGCAACGCCTTCCGGTCCGAGGCAGAGCAGTTCCCGTACCAGACTGTTATACAGTTGGTCAGGATGCTCTCGATGGTGCAGCGATAGAAGTTCACCAGGATGTCTGAGGACAGGTGGTTCTTCCTCAGAGTCCTCAAGAAGAAGAGGCGCTGGTGAGCCTTCTTGACCAGCTTGGAGCAGTTGGTCGTCCAGGTGAGATCCTCGGAGATGTGAACTCCCAGGAACTTGAAGCTGCTCACACGCTCCACAGCCGTCCCCTTAATGTGGATGGGTGGATGTGGGTCAGCATTCCTCCTGTAGTCCACGATGAGCTCCTTGGTCTTCTCGGTGTTGAGCAGCAGGTTGTTTCTGTCGCACCACTCAGCCAGACGATCCACCTCCTCCCTATAGGCGGCCTCATCGTTGTCACTGATGAGGCCAATCACCGTGGTGTCATCTGCAAACTTAATGATGGTGTTGGAACCATCAGCAGGTCTGCAGTCGTGGGTGAAGAGGGAGTAGAGGAAAGGGCTCATCACACAGCCTTGTGGTACACCGGTGTTCATTGTGATGGTAGATGAGCAGCGGTTATCCAGCCGGACATGTTGGGGGCGGTTGGTCAGGAAGTCCAGTAACCATTTGCAGATGAGGGAACTGATACCCAGGTCTGTCAGTTTCCTGATGAGTTGTGAGGG